TCAAGATTGCCTTCCCTCTGGTTGGTTCTGTAACCAACTGCTCTAAGGCACAGTCACTTATGACATCGAGAAATTTTACCTCTGTCAGAACTGGAGCAAACTTTTATCCAATCAATGTGTAGCTCGTTGAAGCCCACCAGTATTACAGTACAGACTTCGTTGGAGGCCTCCCTGATTTCATTTCCCAGATTATCCTGGGGGATGATAGCAGACTCCTGTGATTAATTTTTGGAGTCAGGAATTTTTACTCATAGTATTTCTCTGGAGGAGCCTTCACACTTTAAATTATCGATTTTGCTGACCTATATGTCCTTTCCTGTCTTTCCTATGCAGTTTATATCCAGAGATGACCATATCCCATTGTTTATTACTGCACCAGGTTTCTGTAATGGCCACTATATCTAGCTTCTCCTTTATCCCAGGCACTCCAGCTCCCCCATTTTGGCCCTAAGGCTCTCAGCATTTGCAAGGAAACACCCAAGCACACTGTGTCCCCTGCTCCAGCTGCGAGCAACTATTGTTCTGGCACTTTGTCCAGCTGGTTATCATAACTTACTGTAACCTTGTTACCAACCTGAAACTTCCTCCCCTTCATCCACTAGGGATGATTTGACCCAAACGGGATGCTTCCTGGCTCCTGTCGGCTTTCCCCCAGGGTTCAGTTTAAAAGGTGCTCTGCCCCCCTTTTTATGCCATGTACCAGCAGTTTGATTCCCTTCTGGTTCAAGTTTAGTCCATCCCTCCTGTGCTGGCCTGGCTTGTCCCAGCATGTTCCATAGTGCCTAAAAAATATGAAAATATCCTTTCTACTTCATCGTCTCATCCACAGACTGAGACTTCTCAGCTGCACCTGTCTAGCTGGCCCTGCACGTGTAATCAGCAGCATTTCTGAGAAAGCCACCTCTGAGATCCTGCATTTCAGCCTTCAACCTAGCAATCTAAATTTGGCTTCTAGGAGCTCATGACTACATTTCCCCGCATTACTGGTACCAAAGTGAACCACAACCACTCACAGCCCCATACTATCTACAAGACTATCTAGACTGCATATGAAAGCCACAGTCTTCACACCAGGCAGGCAATTCTCCGTGTGGTCTACATGCCCACTGCAAACACTGTTTCATGTTTGCAGTGATCAAATTGCTACCACTACCAGTAGCTCCCCATCACCCAGATGGATATCCGCCATGAAGAGGATACATGCTCATTATCTAAGGAATGGGCCCATTTTAAGGGATCTTTTCTCTCTTCCTCAGCATGATGCCCTCCTTCCCTGAGACCCCCTTTCTCCATGACCACTGAGGAGCCATCACCCAGGAGTTGGGACCCTGCTAGTTGGTCCCTGGGGGTCTCATCATCCAGCCTGTCTGGATGGTTTGCTTCTCCAAGCCAGCAGCCCTGGCTTCAAGAGGACAAATAGGTTCTCTGAGCGCCAGGAGCACCCACCAATGATTTCTGCCTAGTTGGTAAATAGTCACATGTGTGGCACTTAGTGCAATACTGTGGATAGCCCTGCACCCCTGCTGGCTTTCTACCTTCATAATTGGTGTAAACAGTTTATTCATCTGAAAAACCTAGGGAATTTTGGATTTTATTAAGTTTCTTTATTCATCCTGCTGGAGAGGGCAGTGAATTCACTTTTCTGCTGTTCCTTGCTCTTTACCCTCCTGACATGCTCTGATTTCCTCATTCTCTTGTTCAACTCAGTCTTGTGGGCTGAGAATCTTTGTCACTGGGACTGAGTTTAGTTAGTTCCCACTGGCCTTTCCAATTAATTTTAGCTCCAACTGCAGGTGGGTGTTGCTTCTCTCCCACTTTCTAAAGCTGAGTTTAGTCTAAAAGGTTTAGTTCCTTTGTCTTTTTCCTCTGAAATTTAGTTTCCAGATAGAAGCCTACACAGGGTTACCCCTCTGAAATCCTGCCCCCTTGCTCTTCCCTTGTCCTGACTTCCCTGAATTACCTTTCTGTCAGTTTGGGATAAGTATCTAGAGTAAGTAATACAGATATAAAATTATAGAGATATAATATTAATAAAGGAATACGAGGGATCAGTAAATTGCACTTGCTTTCATGTTGCCTTGTTCGTCAGCTCACTTTGTCACTGGGGCGGACATACTTTGCCAGCAGGGCTCCTTGCACTTGGAGAGTAGCCAGTTACTCACTGTGGTGTAGACAGCTACCAACAACCAATGTTTATGTGGTGAAAATTCTTTCATACGCATGGAGGGCTGGTGCCAGGTTTTTCAGGGCTCTTGGGAAAGATACTTCCAGTAGACTTTTCCCCTACTCTCTGACTGCCATTCTCACAGCACAGTAACCCATCATGAGTAAAGGCTGCAAAAATCAGGCTTGTTCTGGGTGGTTACCCCCTCCTTCCCCTTCAGCTCACTGTGGGGCTCTGGCAAAGTTCATCCTCAGCCTTTCCCAGCTCCATTTGTTACCCCTTTGGGTTCCCTGACTTCTTATTATGTTCGAGTTTTGTTTGTGGAGAAAAATGGCAAAAGGAGATGCATCCAAAAGGTGACAGAACACAAAGAGTATCTCCCTCTTGACAATGTGAACCTGTCATTTTTATTTACTTTATTTCTATACCACTCAGTAGCCAAAGCTCTCTGGGCCATTTGCAGGAGTTCTGATGTGACCATTTTTAGTGTTCGCAGACTTTTCAGCACTTGCTTGTGTCTCTGGCTGCTTCTGAAAGGGCCATTCCTGCCTTTTGCTTCTCTTTTCAGACCACCTGCTAATGTGATTACAGTAGGTCTGTGACACTTTCAACCTCACCTCTTCAGAAGTAGCTGAGTGGGATGGAGTGAACCGGGTGCTATAGGGGGACACCAGTCCTGATGCCCCATTTGTTTCATTTCAATCTGCCATCTCTTTTAAAAAGATGTTGGCAGTATCTGCACAGTTTTTCTCAACTAGAAAAATATATTCAAATGTAATGAATGAAAAGGCAATTGAGAGAGATTCTACATAAATTTAAGGGGGGGAAGTGAAATTTAAGAAAGTGAATGGAATCATGGACACCTCTAATAATAAAGCAGATGATGCAGGTATACTAATATGTCTTCTCTTTCCTTTCCAGTCCTTAAAGTTATACAGAATTCCCATCACGTCAGTCCAAATTTGTCATTAATTTTACATCTTTACCTACTTTGCTGCTTTGATGGCTAAAACATACAAGAAATTTCACCAGGCAATATTGGACACTAGTACACTTACTTACTTATGAGTGACTGACGTTACTATCATCATCATAAAGAACAGATTTCTCCAATTTTCTGGGGCCACCCCTCCAAAACACACACGCACACACACACACACCCTCAGCTGCACATTTTTGAGGTTATGATGTTTATTATTTTTTAATAAAATGGTGAAGAAAAAGTAGCAGCAATCAGCAGGGGCAGAAAAAGAAGAGTTCTGCTGCAAAGGACGTTGAGAAACCAGCTGCAGGTCAAAGGGGAAAGGAAGGAAAAACAAGCCACAGTGATCCTGTTCTGTGAACAACTAGCCCACAGTGGCTTATTCTCAGAATAGCTTAGCATGGAGTGGCAAGCTGCCCATTGTGACCAGTTGTTAGTGTTTCTCATTCTGGTATTCTTCATGTGAGCATCAGTGAGCATGCAGGCGGTGACTCGTGACTAGTCATGCCTGCTCTTGATCTTGGATCTGCATGCATATTTTCCTCCTGTGGACGCTTACTTTCTATAAATATCTGTCTATTAACAGTTCTGTCTACATTTTGGGCACCAAGTGAACTTTCAAGGGACCTTTAAGGAATAATAAAATAAGCATAAAACTATATTGACAATTCAGCCCAGAATAGACCGTCATCAAATACACACATTAGATCTGCAGCTGCATCGAGACAGCACACAGCCTGCCTTCATTCAGGAAGAAAGATACTTTCATTTCATTTCATTTATCACATATCTTGCTGCTCAATGGCTGAAACACTCTGGGTGCCTTGACTAAACTAGTACAGGCAGGAATTGTAAAGGCCATTTTGAACGTGATGTTCCAGGCAAGGTTGCTGCCATGAAAGACCTTGCTTTCCATCAGCATCTTGAACCTCAGCACTGGCTGCCGCTGAAGCAAGGGCTCTGTTGATGTGCAAGGGGGAACTTTCCTGCAGAGATCCTCTTTGTGTAGTGACAGATACCAGTCAGTTTGTCTGAATCGGCCCCTTCCGATCCCAGAAATGTGGTCTCTGGGTTTATATTCATGGAGCTTTTTGAATTGTCATGTAGAATCCTTGGCCAGATAACTCAAGATCATCTGATGCAAATGATTCTATACTGAACTGTAGGCTGAAGTAATCTGATTTCGAACCTTCACTTAACTAACCTGCTTCCACAGTGAGTGTGTTCTACTCATGCAAATTGTCCCCCTTGAGGTCAGCTTTTCAAGATGTCAGTCTTGATAGTGAATGGAAAGTAGAGCATCTGGATCAGTGTGGAGAAATAGGAAGATGGGCTAACAAACTGATGAGCTGTTTGAGAAGTTCAAATGGAAGAATATCCAGACTGAAAGTCATCTGCATGTCGTGCTCTAAGTTTCCAAGAGAGGTTTTGAAGTTGGAGAGTCTTCTCTTGCAGTGCCCTGAAGTTAATTCACAGTCTTGAACTTAGTGGGCAGTAGCCAGTGCTGCTTTTGCACTAGTGGTACCCACTGCCAGTGCAGCAGGAAGGTAGCTTTTCCTAAAGAAACCTTATAGTTCAGCAGAGCTTGTAGATGGGAGCTCTGCTGACCTGTCCTGTTCTAGAAACAATCATTTTGGCTAATTTCCAGGTTCTTGTAGGAAGTGCCAGCTCAGCATAATCAGTTGAGTTACACAGGTCATGTTGGACACTGCCCATACATCTTTCTTTTGACACATTCACATGTATTTTTATGTTGAAAGTTTAGCTACTAATTGCATTATCCACCATTTATAGTGGTAACTGGGATTAATGTATCATTCTCAATGTTAATTTCTTTTTCTGCTTTCTTTCTAGGAACTAGCCAAGAGAACTCCCACTAAACATCCAGATTACCAAGCAGTCCAGAGTGCCTTACAGGCAATGAAAACAGTGTGTACTAATATCAATGAGACCAAGAGGCAGATGGAGAAGTTGGAAGCTCTTGAACAACTGCAGTCTCATATCGAAGGATGGGAGGTATGGTGGCAAAGAGAATTATGGGTTGCATTCTAAGCCTGTAGTCCTACATGTTTTTATCTGTGAACACAGTGAGGCTTACTTCCAAGTATAGTTATATGGGATAGGTCTCATGCTAAGGGGGCAGAGTGAAGGGCATCAGAACTGGGGGAATCAGCAGTAAAATGACAAGTATGTTTTATCTATTTGATCACTGTTGTTTATCATCCTTTAACTTTTAAAAAATGCTTTCTGAAATCCATTTTTTCCTGCCTAAATGGGGAATGTGAGGAACTGCTTTGGAGTAACAGATTTTTTTTGTTAAGATACTGCATGCAGTGCTACTGTGGTACTACTGAAGGCATTTTACCAGAAACTGAAGCCAGGCTTTGTATAGTGGGCAATTTTGCAGATTTGGGACAAATTTAAAACAAGCTGTATCATGATTAATATCCTTTCTCTCTCTCTATTTAAAATTATTTTAGCCCAATCAGTTACACTGATAGAGCAGACAAGGTTATGATGAAAAAAGGGCATTGTCTGAGTTTCTGGAACTATGCCCAAATTGAAACGAACAATATAATGGTTTTGTTTTTCTAGCTGATAAATTAATAGAAGAAACAGGACTTAAAGCTATTAACAACTCCTTTTTAAAATGAAATCATTAATAGGAAAATTTAATAATGTTGCTTATAATGTCTTTTTAGAGTTCTCAGATTAGGTATGAACTGTAAGATCTTAACAATGATTGAAGTGGAGGAAAATGTTGAGTAAGTTCATTGATGACATAATAAGGGAAAAGTCCTTCATCAAAAGTCCAGTCATCTCAATTTGGTATTTGGCTTTGCTGAAAGTGAAGATGATGTATAACCCTCATGCCAAGTGTTGGAAGCATAATCAGCCTATCAAAATGCCATTCAAATAGTTCTTAAGATAGCTAGAGATGGAAGAGCAGCTGATTGATATTGGAGAATAATGACCGTGTACTAATAAATATACTTCCTGGAATATTTTAAAAGTAGAGAGAAAGTCTATAAATCCAGATGAACTAAAACTAAAAGACAGCTTTTTATGAGCTACTCCATACCATATAGAAATAATTCATGAAGAAGGCAAGGGGCTATCTTTGAACCATCAAAAAGAACAGAAACAGAGATTGTTTTAGACACATGCACATTTTTGTATATTTTCTTGATTGACATTCAGCAATCACTCACAGTTAATCAAACTCATTAACAAAAACTGAGTTAAGATTTCTTTAGCTGGGCTAAAGCATGTCTAGTAATAGATTCTGTAAATACTTGATGGACACAGGAGTACAACATCTGTAGTAGAGGCCAGTGGATTAGTGGGAAGAAATGCTTCCGTGAATGGGTCCTTTTTTTTACTCTGCTCTAACTGGAAGCAGCCATGGATGTGATTGGCTAGGCGAGTGATGTGCTTGGAGATTAAAGTATCCAAGCTTGTGGTTACCAGCCGAAGACTCTTTAGCTGTATGCATCTTGCAGGAGGTCAAGTAAACTTCCTCATATTCAGACAGTTGGGTGTACTCCACAACTGCGGTCGTTGTTTTGTTTTCAGCTTGCTCATTTTCCTCTTCAAGGAAGTTCTTGGCTTCCATCTGGAGTCATGTGGGCAGCCCAGATCTCCAGCCGTGTGTGTGTTTTCCGATAGCAGACTTGCCAAACCAAGCCCGGCTATATTGTTCAAAGTAGCAAGAATTGAGAAAATCCATTCTGGATTTGATATAATTTGGACCCTGAGGGGTACATATCTCAAGTTTGAATTCTTAAGCCTCAGTGGGTACCTTGCCAGTGCGTCCGTGGTGGGTGGTGGGCTACAAAAAACAACAGCGGCAAAGAGTATTACTTTAGGTTTAAATAGTCTCCAACAAACATTCTAGGAATGACAACCATTCTTGATATGTTTATCAGTGCTGTTTTACCAAAAAGGCTGCCTGCCGTCATTCTAGGATCTGGAGAGTTCAAAAGGTAGTCAGCATTTTTTCACTATTAAATAAAATCCCTAAAGTGTACTTGTCTATATTAGGAGTTTATCTTGGCTTTTGAAATGGTAACCAGCAGCTGACCTAGGAGTATACAGGCAAGGACTTGGCGTTTGTCTTACACAGATTATACTGCTTTGAAGAAAAGCAAATGTGTCTGTCCACAACACAAACTATAAAAATGTGTGGACATCTGAGTTACTCTTCTGTGTGTTTGTTGTGGTTATTATGTGTCTCAGCTCCTGTTCCTTCCTCTTTCTACCTGTTCCTCTAATCACTTCATCCTTTCTACCTCATATGAAACATAATCAGGTATCAGGACAGATACCACATCCACCTGATTAGTGGTTGACTTTCTTACAGGGTTGTTCTAGTCATAGTGTTTTTTCTGAACAATGGGTTGGATCCAACCTTAGTCAGACTTACATTCAAGTGACTGAAAACAATTAAGTGGACATTGCTAACTGAAGTTTCAATAGATTTGTGACTTTCAAGGAGAATTACTAACAAACTACTGATTAATAAGAATCGGAAATAAGCAATAGTCTCACCAGAACAACCAAAGTTGGAAACCTGTGTCTTGTTAACTTGTGGGTCAAGCAGGCCTAGTTGTAGACCTGTTTCTTGAACTCTTGTGTCAGACTTCAGCACTACCCCAAAAAGCATAGTGTGCTGCACCCCAAAATTGTGGGTTTTTGCACTCAAAATCAAACTGGCTAGCCAATAAGGATAGCTACTGTAGCAGAGTGGTGACCCAGTAACTTCTCAGTTTAACTCTCAACTCTGCCACATGTAGTTTAAGGCAAGCTCTACTTTCTCTTCTGCAGTATGGGAGAAAAAATTATCTACGTACCTTACAGGTTTGTTGTAAGGATTCCTGTATGTGAAGCACCTAACACTTAAAATTCTTTCTTGACATGCTAGTTAGTAATAGTAAAATAAGCAGCAGCAACTACGTCTGGTAAATTGGGTATGTTTTGCTTGCCTAGCTACCACCCAGCTGCAGATGTGGACACAGTGAACATGAAAAGGAAGTTGTTTGCTGACTATGCATTTCACAATCCTAAATTGGTTCCCCCTCCCCCATAAGACATCAGTAGGTTGAATTATCTAATCCACTTCCTTAGTCTGGTTTGCAGAGCAGATAAGGAAGTCTCCATTAGCATCTATCCCTCAACTGCACTGCAAAGCAAGAAATAGGCATTAAAAATATACATGCTCACCACTCCTCCTCCACTTTATGAACTGAATTATCAGATGATTTGCTGGGTGTGACTGAATCCCCACTACTTGTGGAATCATCTCTGTGTTCTGTCCTTAGGAAATTCATTTATAAACATAAAACTAGGTGATTCACACTGTAGTGATCTCCTATTTGGATTAACATAATGTCTTATACATGAGGTTAATGATCTGGAAACTTCATAGTACAAAACATGGCAGCTACAATGTTAAGGAGGGCTGGTAGATGTGAGAGATGGGGAATTAACCTTCCCCATCTCTCACGTCTTTAGTCCCAGTTCAGTCAAACTGCTTCAAAGACCTACATGGCTCGGGGAGGGTTAATCGGAGGAGCATCTCCTCCCATTTCTGCCTACCCAGACCCTAAGGACATCATCTGAGAGCTGCTCCTTGAAGCACCCCTGCCAGTTGAGGTGAGGTGAATAGCTGTAAGAGAGAGGACCCTTTCAGTGGAACACCCTCCCAAGGGAGGCTCACCTGGTGCTGATAGGTCCAAAAGGCTGGCACCAGGTGAAACTCCTCTTGTTCTCTTTTAAGTTTAAAGGATTGTTTTAGACCTTCACATTTGTTTTATTTTACTGCTGGCTTGATTTTGGTTGAAAGTGTGTCCCATGCAGCTTAGTTTATCCCATGCAGCTGGTTTTATGTTGGTTTGATTGTGCTGCCTTAATCATCATGTGTTGTTCTGTGTTTTGTATTTCAATTTACCTGTGTACCACCCAGATCACTCCAGTTATTGGGCAGTTCAGAAGTTAAGTAAAATGATATAAAATAAAAGGATCTGGCCATAGTCCAGTCCAACTGTACGGGGAGGCAAGGTAATGCCATGGCTACATTTGATGTAAGGGCATTCCATTTGATGTAATGGCATGCTGTCGTGATTGTGGTCATCCTTCAGCTTATGCACTCCCTTATCCCCTTTCCCTACCTCTGCAGGAAGGAGATTAGAAGCTTCCTGGCCCTGATTAGTGGTAAACTATGGTTTGTTATTGTATTTGAATGTGGCACTCTGTGATTACTAAATCGTATTTACAAACAAACCAGGAGTACAAATCAGGTCATTTTCAGTTTTGGCTTCTTGCACATATAACTCTGTGGCCCAGGAGATCAGACTTTTCATGGTTTCCTGTTACTATTTGAATAATTCCTTGTTTCAACAAGCCTTTGGCCATCCTTCAGTTGCAATTTAAAAATAACTTTATTGCTATTTTGATTTTGTTTTTGTAAGGTTAGCTGCCTTGAGTACTTTGTCCTGAAACAGAAAGGCAGGACACAAATTGCAAAAGAAATGAATTAAGCAAGGATGGTATGATTCGCACTGGAATAGAATCACCTGCTTTTTTATGGTGGGCCCCTTTTATAGTGCCTTGTTAAGTTAGGAATTTAATACATTCTTATGCAGTCATGACTGATGTGGACTCCATGTTGCATCCATGATTCCAGAGTGGAAACCAGGTCTCAGATATGATATTCTATAAATTTAGCTTCTTAAAACTGGAGAAATGTTTAGTTCTGATGGTTACTAAGAAAAATAAAACAAAGGCATTTAGTCTCTGATTTAATGTAAGGGTTTCACTTTGTACTCAAACTGCTGTTCTGATAGATGGACACCAGAAACTTCTATATGAATTTTAAGTAGAAATATTGACAAGTTTGCATAACATCACAACCCACCGTGTAAATAAGCTATGCAGAATGGGTTGTTTCCAGAACAACGTACGATGTGCCTGACAGACTATTGGACTTACCATTGCTGCTTCTCCCCACCGACTCACCTGGTCTTTCAGCAGTTATTCCAGGGTTCTGCACAGCAGAATCTGTGTGCCCTCACCCCTCTCATATTCTCTCTCTCTCTCTCTTCCTTGTATTGGAGCTCTGTTTTTGCTCTTCTTTTTCTCCTTTTTGGGGTGCCTCTACCGTGACAACTACTTCATGATGCCCAAGTGATACTTTGGAGTCACCATCACTGGCTTATTATACTTCTTGGGCGGTTGAGCACAAGAATGTGAGCAATTCAAATATTTTTTCCCCAAAAATTATGATCTTTCACAGACATGCAATTATAGCTGTCTGAAACGTGGAGAGTTGCCTGGATAAGGTCCTGGAACTTGTCTGCTGCGAAAGCACAGCAGGTAACATCCATGGACATTGACAAAGTGAGGCTGCATTTAGGTTAATTTGTGCAGACTTGACAAATGTCAATTGGAGAATGTCAAATGAAAAGTGAAGGGGCAAAGGGTGTCTCCCCCTCCCCCCGAAATGGTATGGTGAAGATATTGCCCCATTAGCAGTGTAATCCTTTAGGTACTGTGCTGACAGCTCTTAGTGCCCTCCATCATTTCCACACTTCCCTGAGCATCTGAGTACTCCAATAGGGGGAAAGCTACAGCCCAGTCCTTTTTCATGAGCACTTTTGACAGCTGTCAAAACAAAGGATTCTTTAAAAAAAAATCCTATCTGGCAAATTTGAGCATTGGGTTGGGGCAAATATGCATATTTCATGGCTGCATGAAATGCTTGTCCCAAAACAGTGTTAAAAATTGCTTGTTTACCCAGGATGCATTGCTGTGTCATGAGAATCCAGTTGTCAACTACAACTTCAGTTGAGGATACATATCAATGAAATTGTCATTTTGCACTCTAGGGATCCAACTTGACAGACATCTGTACCCAGCTTCTGCTTCAGGGAACCTTGCTAAAAATCTCAGCCGGAAACATCCAAGAGAGAACATTCTTTCTTTTTGACAACCTTCTTGTTTACTGCAAGCGGAAATCCAGGTGAGCATGTCTGCCTGTGTCATTTCTTAGATTTCATGTTTCTTTAGTCAATAAATCAATGGAAATAAATGTTGTACATTGTCTTTGGATCGGGGAAGAGAGGTCATAATCTTTCACTAACGACAGTGCCTCCATAAGAACCGCCTTTCTGCATTAGTGCCAGGTCTGAAAAGTAAGATGTTGAGCAGTGCTGCCATAGGTTCTGCTCTGGCACAGATCCTTAGAGCTACCTTCCTTAACTTTCATTGGTCATGCTAGCTGGGGATGATGGGATTTATAGATGAGGTTGGGGAGGAATGTGTTAAAATGACAAGAACGGGCGCCCTACAGAACTGGTACTCCTGGAAGTAATTCTTATAGCTACAAAATGTCTTAGAACAGGTGGTTTTGCATTGCCAATGACAGTTTTGAGGCTTTTCCAGGGATAGCATTAATGAACAAGGAAGTATTGTTATGACTACTTTAGTACGTTAATACAGAGGGAAGAAGCAAGCTGACAAACAAACAGGTAAAGCACATGGAAGGGCAGGGGAAAGGACAGCTCAGTCAATTATAAAAGTAATTGTTTCCAGCTTCTTTAAAAAGAAACTTCTCATAAGTGTGCACTTACCTCCTTTCCATTTCATCATTTCCCTGTTTGACCTTCATTTTCTGGCACCTCTTTTTTGAACTGATTTTCCCATTCGTCTGGATTATGCACCACTCCCCCTTTTTGCTAACTGAGAAACATACCCCTTGTCCCTCTTTACAAATCTTTCTTGAATGGCTTCTGATTTCCTTCGTTCTCAGTCTTTCTATATTCTCTCCCTCTCTCTTCCACCTTCAGTTCTCCCCTCTGGTTCTGTTAGTAGTTTGGGTTAATACAACCCCTCCCTTTCTTCAGGCAGTTTTCCCAGAACATGAAGTTTTAGGAAACAAAATGTTCTAACTGCTCTTGTTTGTACTGAGTAGGCATCAGCAAGCAACACTTCTTTACCTTTGGCTTGGAGTTGGATAAAGCAGAGCTGATCCTTTCAGTTCCTTAAAGAAGGATCTGTTTTTATATTTCCCCAATAACTATAGCAAGCCGTATCCAAATTGCCAGTCTGATTTTCATTTAAAAAAAAAAAACAACCTAGGGGAGTCTGCAGCATGTTGCCTAATGTTAAAGGATAAATTTAGACATGGCAAAGCTGCTATAATTTTGGATGGTTCATCTGTCTGTCTGCTATTTAAATTCTGGTCCAGAATGGAAATTAATGTCTACACACTTGTAGTAGCTGGCCAGCTGCAGGCTCAACCAGTGACACACGAAGGAGATGCTGTGCAGAGAGAGAGAACCTCACAGTAGCATAATGGGATTCAGCTTTCCACATGAAAAGGAGAAACCTTGTGCTTTCACTTAGATGAAAGCTGGTCTTAACTTTTCTCATTGTTTGTCAGCCATCAGATATTCCGCTCTGAATAATATAGGACCACAATAGTATGAAAACCAAGACCCCGTGATTCATCTCATAGGGCTTTGATGTACACTGGGGTGCCAGAACCACACATACAGGGCCAGACACATGGGGATATAACCCGTGTTTATCCAACTTAAGAAACATTCATGAGAAGTAGGACTTGTCTAAGTAGGGATAACATGGCATACCTCCCATGGGTCTCTTCCATTCAGTTGTCAACTAGTTAGGGGGAACGAAGGCAAAGTTCGATGGAGAAAGATCCTACGGTTGCCTTGACAAATGTCACTTTCATTCCTGCACGTGCTGCAGCCATGCACATTACATTATGGGGATGATGCGCCCACATTGATGCAGGTCCATACAGAACAGGCTTGAGAGTCTTTAGAATCAAGCTACCATATCAAAGATTCTTTGTTTGATTTGGAGAGCTCCAGGCATACAGACTGCATATTCTGCTGGTTTCACTCACTCTGTTTTGGGATACACAATCTTGTTTTGAGTCACTGTTTTTGCGCCCTGCTGTGTCTTTACAACCCATATATCATGGTCTTTTCAGAACTATGGTCTGTATGCTTCAGCCTGCAGTGGAGGAACATACCTTGGCTGGAAGTAACTCCATAAATGTTTCAGTACTGTAAAGTGGCTATTGGGTATAGAGAGGGGTCCATCTTTCTTACATTACAGTCTGCTCAGATGGATTCATTTGAGTCTGAGGAGGAGGCAGAGGAGCAAGATGGGGTGAAAGAGCTGACAGCTCCAAGGTTACCTAGTGAAGCTTCTCAGGCATAGTGTGAGAATCCATCTGCCTTGGAAAGGGCAGAAGGTTTTTCAGGGTGTGAGTGGGGAGCAGATGCAGGAAGAGTTCCTTGACCTGGTCAGGAGATGGCAGGTGAACTGAGTGGAGCAATGCTGAAGTGTCCAGCATTCCTTCTGTCTAGCCCGCAAGCAGCAAGACCTACCCTGAGGATGGAGTCAGAAGCTTTGCTGAAAGGAAGGGAAGGAAGGGAAGCTTCAGTTGGATCCAGCTCTTTACACGGGCAGATGCTTCTTCCACCATTCTAGTAGATGCAAGCCTTCTTGCATTTATACTGTTCTGTAACCAGATAAGTTTTAATAAAAGAGCCATGCTTTTAAGGTTTCATTTTGATTTTGATAAGAAGACGGAAAGAAGGAGGTGAGCTGCTCTTGACACAGGGTGAGAAATGGCACCTGTTCTGGTGCTTTGTTTCCTTGGAATATTGGATGCATAGATAGACCATAATGTATCAGTGATGTGCTGTCAGGACCGGGGCATGCAGACAATCTTGGACACATCCAAAAGGGATGTTCATCACCACTTAGCTGCGGATGTCCAGGGACACAAACCACAGCAGCAAAGGAATCTCCTTGCAGTGTGCAGGCCAAGAACTGCAGGTCAGGAGGTAATCCCTGATCCTCTGTGAAGAATTCCAGGTCAAGTTTATTTTTTGATCTTAGCAGCTAGGAGGCTTTGCTCTGACTTTTCCATATTGGTAACTGATGACTTTCACCAGGCCCTCAACAGGAACCAGTTCTGACTTCTTCACACATGGTGCATAATTAATTTAGGAGATTCATTGGTGGCTACTTGCTTAGAAGGCTTTAAAAGGAGATTTGGAAAATAGACGGGTGATTTTTCTATGTTTTGATTGTGGGCTTCCTAAAGGCATTTGAGTAGCCCTGTAGGAATTAGGTTGTTGGATTAGATGGACTTTGTTCTAATCTAGCAGGACTCTCTCAAGTCTGTATGTGCTTAATTTTGTTTGTTAAGCAGCAGCAGCACCATGCAACTCAGCCTTAACCTTCCCACCTCAAAAAACCTGGTTCTGTCCAGATGTACCGGACTGCAACTTTCATTGTTTGCAGGCAGCATGGTTAGTGGTTTCAGAAGATTGATCTAGAATGGCTGCTAAAGCCAAGTTGTTGTCAGTTGCGAATTTGTGTCCAACCCATCACGATCCCATAGATGGCATTCCTCCAGGCCTTCCTGTCCTCCACCATCCCCCGGAGTCCACTTAAGCTCACAAAAGCCAAGTACCTTTATGAAATCCAGCATCCTCCTTTGATCTGCCTTCATCCCTTTTTTTTTTTTTTTTTAATTAGCTCAAAGTTTAAAAAATGCATCCACACCTTCATGATTTCAGACACTGTCACAATGATGGACTGTCCATCCAATCGGCAGCTCTTCTGCCATTTCTGCCATCGCCCCCAGCTATTTGTATTCAATGAACATTTTCTGTAGAGACAAGATGTTCATAGCTGTTGCCAAAAACACATTTTCTTTTGTAAATTTATATACTGCTCAATAGAAAACTTCAAACGCTGTCTGTGTATTTTATATCCTGAATAATAAGACAAATATCAATACAGCACAATACATTATAAAGCAGTTGTGGTACCACTGAGCTATATCGTCCATCCCTAAAGAGTACTAAATCTTAGGAAGTGCAGCAGTACTGGTTTTAATGCATATAAAGTCCTGCACAGCTTAGAACCACTGTGTCTGGTTCTTCTCATGCATTCCTCCCCACGCTCTAAAAGCCTCAACTAAAGCCCTGCTCTCAGTGCCCCCACATCCTGAGATGCATGGACTGCTGCTCGCGGGAAGGCCTTCTCCATGGTAGACCTGCAACTTTGGAATCATAGGTCCTTAAAATAGTAGAGCTGAGAGGGGCCAAGAAAGACACTGGGTCTAGCCCTCTGCTCAGTGCAGGACTCCCAAGTTAAGCCACCCCACTCAGAAGACTGTTCAGCTGCATCTTGAATGACTGCAGTGTGGGAGAGCCCACAACCTCCATAGGTCACTAGTTCCATTGTCATGTCAGGTCTTCCTGATGTTCAGCCAGAATCTGGCTTCCTGTAACTTGAGCCCTTTATTCTGTACTCCTGCACTCTGGGATGGTGGAGAAGAGACCCTGTCCTTCCTCTTTCCAACATCTTTCAAGTACTTGAAGAATGTTATCATATCTCCTCTCAGTCTCTCCTCACAGGGCGTTTTTCCAGTCCCCAGATCATCCTTGTTGCCCTCCTCTGAACTCTTTCCAGTATGTCTGCATCTTTCTTAAATTGTGGTGCTCAGAAGTTGGTGCAGTGCTCTAGATAAGGCCTAACCAGTCCTGAGAAGAGGGAAACTAGTACTTCACGTGATTTGGAAGTGGTACTTCTATAAAACAGCCTAAAATAGCCTTAGTCTTTTTTGCAGCCACTTCACATTGTTGTCTCATATGAGATGCACCCCTGAGATAAATCTTCCTGGCACCTGCTTAGTTGATTTTTATTCTCTTGGGCCTTTGAACTTGCTATAAATTTGACTGCACAGATGTATTATAAAGTTGTATCTCAGAGCTGTTTTTTATCTCTGTGGATATTTTAATATTTATTATTTGTTCCTTTTGATGTTTGGTCTTTTCCTATTTTCAGCTGTGTTTGTGACTACTCTTCAATTTTTAGCTGGATTTTATTGGGTTTTTATAATTTTGATGTTATGCATAGCACCCTTTGGCTATAGGGTGATTCACAAGTTCAACAGGCAAGCAGTTTCTTGCTGCTCAGAACGTAACAGCTGAGCAACGTGCTTATGGGCACATAACCATGCAAAAGCAATATGCATTTGGCTGGGGTCACTGCATTTTTAATTTAGGCTGTCGCATGCTGGTGAAGAATGAAATGTAACTCAAGTTTGGATGCACGTTTTTTAAGTGGAGCAGACAAGACCTATTATCCTTTATGTGAGCTGGATTTAAAAACAAGGTGCATGGTACTTCCTGCTTTCCTTGATTTTGATGTTGTGTTGCCAAAATTATTAATGTATCAATTAAACTTTTGAACTTTGAACTTAAAAAACTATTATACACTCTGTAACTACTTGCTTTTGGCCATATATTACAGAGCAAGATTGCTTAGAATGTTCATAAACTGATTGTATACTAGTATGTGATACGAAACTATTCTGGTTTTTACTCTTGAAATCTAGGAAATGAATGAGACATTTCCTAGGGCAGCTTTTGCAAATCTGGTATCTTTTAGCTGTTTTAGAATATAAATCTTGCTAGAGGGGGCTGATGTGAGTGGAAGTCCAACATATCTGGGGGACACTAGGTTGGCAAAGGCTGCCCTGGATGTCATAATAAAGTGCAGGGAAGTGCTGCTAAAGGTGATGCAAAGCCTGATGCTGTTTGCATAATTTCTTCCCCAATACCTTTCTTATAGAGTTGCTGGTAAAAAGACATCTAAGCGCACCAAGTCAATCAATGGATCCCTCCACATCTTCAGGGGCAGAATAAACACAGAAGTCATGGAGGTTGAAAATGTGGAGGATGGAACTGGTAAGAGTTTGGACATCTTCTTTATCAGATAAGGCACAACAGGCTGTGCATCTTTCTGTATATGCCATGTTGGCTCTAATCATAGACCTATGAAATTGGAAGGGACCTCAGAAGTCCTCTGCTCAAACCCCTTCCTTCTCTCTTGAAAGGGAGCCGTCTACCTTCTGTTTGAAAACTTCTTGCAAAGGAGACTGCTCCACCTTCCTGGTCATCTCTTCCATGGTCACACAGATCATACTATCAGGACATTCTTCCTAAAGTTTAGCTGAAATCTTTGTAATTTAAACCTGTGGCTTTGGTTCCTCCCCTGTGAAGCAACAAAAGTGTGACAGTGCTTCAAAAATTCAGCTGTCATAACGACCTCTTCTACATGTTGAGCCTACCCAGTTCCTTCAACTAGTCCGCACAGGACATGGTCTCCAGGCACCCTGCCACCTTTGTCCCCCTCCTCTGGAAATACTTGGACTGCCTTTTATAACTGTTATGAAGTCAGGAGATTGGAAACATCTGGATGTTGATCTTTATTCTCTCTCTCTCTCTCTCTCTCTCTCTCTCTCTCTCTCTCTCTCGCACTTTGAGTGGTTCACTTATTGTTGCAATTGTATTGAAATAAGCTTTTAAAACATATTTATGTGGAATGGCCCTGTGTACATTTGCTCCCTCTAAAATGAATCATGAAGCTTCACAGGCACAGCTCCCCATCTGTGCTTCTGTGCTACTCCTAGGGATGGATTTATTTCCTGCAACAGTGAAAAGAGGGATGGAAATGCCAGGACAGGGATATCCAATGTTCCTTATTAAGAAGTAGTTTTTCTAAAGGGTCCCTTTGAGGAATGAGAATGGGCTGACAGGTCAGAGCTCTTTTTACCAGCTGTCCAAAGCTTTTCTGCTGAAGCCATTAATCTGCTGTATCTACTTTTGGTTTTGTCACAGAATTGTGATCCCAAGTACTGTACAAGTGTGTTCCTTTCCTGTTCGTCTGCCACATAACCTCTAGGTGGCATTGTGGCATAGCAAAATAGAGCAAATAAACCAGAGGAAATCACACTTTCTTTCTCCTTCACAATTACTTGTTACATTTTCCCTGCTCTAAAAATACTTGCTAGAAGTGCTAGCTAGATACAGAAGTGAAACTGGAGAGTCACATCATTGTCTAAATATCCTGCAAATAGCTGTCAGCAGGGCCGGATGAGTACACTTTAAATGCCTTGTGTAGAAAAGCCCCAGTGGGCTCTTGGCAAGTCTCACAGGCACAACCACTGCTGTTGTTGCGACTGAGGCAGGAAAATAGCACTATTTATGGGACTAGATTTAGGACAGGGGCCATCCATTTTTGACCCCTTTCCTACACTTGAGCCCCTTTCAAAGCTCACAATGTATGTGTGTTGCTGTCCTAGGTTTGCTGCCTTCTAAAGGGAATCAGAATTGATCAGCCTGAAGGAAGCAGTGCTGCCCAAGAAACCACCTGGGGACTTCATATCCATAGTGAGCAGAACCAAAACCTAAAGTGGGCAGGAGCTCAAAGTGGCTAGGGCTGCTCTGCTTGATCACACACACACATTCAAAGACCCCATCCATGCCACTCACACAGACATCCACCTAGGAGTCGGGACAGGGGAACTGAGTAGGTCCTTGCCCATCTCCTATGTCAGGGACTGAGGTGGAACAGTGGCTTTCCAGCAAAGTGGTTTCTGTTGAGCCTCACCTGTTGTGATAGGACATCAGTGCCTTGAGGCAGGACTCCCAGCAGCAAGGCTCAGAGACAGGGACTCAGGAAAGGATGGGGGAGATGGGAGGCATCATAGCCTGTAAATAGCATATAGGGTTTCCCATCCCTGCAGAAAAATATCCTGCCAAAGACAACTGCTTGGAAACACTGAGGGAGCTTTAACAGCTAGCTTTTTTTATATAGGTTTTGAGGTTTTGTTTTCCAATGGCGCATCCCTGCTGTGTTTTCCAGGTAAATGCCTTTTCCAAGAAGGTCCAGGACTTGCACTCACTGTCTTGCTGTGCTTTTGTGTTTTTGCAGCAGATTACCACAGCAATGGTTACACGGTGACAAATGGTTGGAAGATACACAACACTGCCAAAAACAAATGGTTTGTCTGTATGGCCAAGACGGCGGAGGATAAGCAGAAATGGTTGGATGCTATCATTAAGGAGCGGGAACAAAGGGAGAGTAAGTTGGGGCTGGAATATTTTATGTGCTCAGTGAATAGCAAGGCTGGCTGTATGTGTGTCAGTGAGATGCAGGTTTATCCATCTAAGAAAAGAAGAATTACGCATTATTTAAAAATGTCTGATGGTCTATTTTTAATACATAATAATAAAAACAAGGTAGTGTGTAAGTACTAGCAATGTAGGCTAGAAACTTTTTAGTTCCATCCTTGAACAACATAGTGCTTAAGCATCATTACAATTACAGGACTTAATACTGCCAGTTTCTCTTGTCCAGTAAACCACTTAACACCTTTGTGTTTACTTAATCAATTTGCAAGGTGTTCATTTATAAATTGAATCTGTATTAAAAAGAAGCCCCAGCCCTCTTTCCATGTATTAATATATTCTCAGAGTAACCCACTCTCAAGAATTCATGTGGGTTGTCATTGAACAGAGGGTTGTTGTTGAATATTGTTTATTGCATTGTCTGAACCCTGCTGAGATAAGATACCATTATGTACAACCCACAGTTTCTAATCTGACAACAGTGTGTTTTCTTTATAGGTTGGATATGGTTAAGAACCCATGGCTTGTTTGCACAGCTGAGTTCAAACAACACAATAACTCAAAACAGTCCACAGTTCAATGACCACCCATGCTCAGCATGGGTTATCATGGTGCCAGAACTCATTTTCCCTGCAGAGGAGAGAACCCGTAACTTTCCTAAATATAGATGCAAATTAAACATGTTGAGAAGCATTCTGAGATATAGCAAGAATTGTATCCCCCTCCTTCATTAGGTTCCTTAAGGTATCAGAGAAAAGAGTGAACGGATGTCTGCCTTTGCAGGTGCACACCCCAAAAATTACTGCTGTGATGAAAATTGTAATTTCAGTAGAACTAAGCCTTTGTGTCTGCCTCTGGGGTTGTGTTCTGACAACCATTACTGTGGAGTCTGCATGAGAAGCTGCTAGGCTGAAATCCAGTCTATAAAGTGATTCCTTCTGATGCTGGTGACCCCTACCAGAGTCAGAAATAAAGGTGTCAGAGAAATTTGTAAGAGAAAATTTGCTTTCAAATAGCACAAGAAATAGATATTTTGCATATTTAAAAAAGTGTGTTTGGCACATTCCATTCTATAAATGCCACATCTCTCTTGAGGGTTTGTCTTAGATGGCCTGGTTCCAATTCTGAAGTTCTTACTGCTGGTTAGGACTTGCTGGCTGGGATGATGGGGGTTATAGTCCAGCACATCTGGAGGAAAACTGGGGAAGGCAGTCATACAGATCCACAGTGAAATTCTTGATCGCTTTGTACATCTCAGAGCTAACCCTCGCATTAACAATCTTCATGTCGCATGAGTGAATTAGTGCCAATGCACATTAACTGTGGACTTCATTCCTGCATAATGTAGTGATGACCAAATTCAAAGACTTTAAGAAGGGATTAGACATTAAGTCCAGGCACTGCAATTATCTCACTGTAGCACTGGCCGAATGTATATAAGGGAAGATGAGCAAATCAGGATTCTTTGCCTTCTAAAGAAAACCTGAGCACTTTAGCAGTGGGAAAGAGAAAATATATTTAATTCTAGAGTGAGAAAAAAACTATGCAGTCTTACAGTTGCACTGCTGGATGTGATCTTGAGAATATTGAAAGGTTGCTGTTTTCAGGCAGAAGGAGCTTTGATATGGTCCAGTTTCATGTTGCGTTGATTATGCCTGTCTACTTTTCTCCCTATACATGGTAAATCTTGTTTGACTTGATTGGCTGTCTTCCCTCTTGGCCCTTTTCTTCCACTTCCTGCTTAATGTCTTGAGCTTAACACCCTCAAGGCCAGTGTGGACTACTTTTTGATCAGTTCCAAGGAGATGAGAGTTAAATCCATGCTCAACCATGAATGCTAGCCTGACCCAACTCAGAGAATTGCTATGAAGATAAAAGGGGGGATTGGACTGCCTGAAGGCCTCAGAGAGATAAAATGAGATGCCAGTAATTAAATACCTAGGCAAGGCCAACCTTATCTTTTAACTATGGCTCATTATGCACCTCACAGTCAGAGTGCCATTAAAATTAAAAAGGAGAACCAAAGGGAGTCATGGCAGTTCACATCTCACAACAGGAAGGATTAAAAGGATAGGAGATGATGCTTTCCTGCATTTGGTCAGTATTGTCTACTCTGACAGCCAGCAGCTTGCTGGGACTTTAAGCAGAAATCTCCCCCATCTATGATACCCAGCTTCATTTAACTAGAGGTTTCAGGGTTGAACCTTGGAGTGTCCACATGCAAAGCACTTGCTGTACCACCAAGCAGAGGGGATTCACTTTGGCCACCTGAAGGCAATTTTACTTTTCCACTGAAGAACAACCGATCAGTTAGATTTTAGACATATATTCAAAGCCTCATTGAAGAGCTCATCTTTCTGAGTTCGTGCATTTCCAGGATCAAGCCAATGTCAGTGCTGAGATAAGAAAACTTGGCTTTGTTTTAGAACCAGATGAGGAAAAGATGCATTATAATCTTTTGCTTAGTTCAGAGCTTGGGGAATTTGATGATGTAGCTGCAAACTGAAACGTGTCAGATTACACAGACTGCTTTCTATCCCAATCTGACTTTGCAAATTACCTTTGGCAGAACTTGTCAGCAAGTCTGTTTGACTAACATTGTGGTATGGAGGAAGGTGGCAATCAGCCAGGATGTTTGCCCTGCCAGAATCTTTTCAGATCATGAAAATTGTGGGTTCTGCAAGACGAAACATTACGCATTCTTATTTCTCCAGTTTGACCATCAGACATCCAAAACAGTGCCACAGGCTGAGCCCTGGTGGTATGAAAAGTCTTTGAATTTCATTTGAGTTTCTCAATCATATTTCAAGGAAGCAAAATAGTATCTGCATGTTTATGGAATTGCTCTCTTTTCTTCTTGTAACTTAAGGTTCAGAAATCTTAAAACTGTGAGGAAGCAGCTTCTCTCACAACACCAGTTTGCCTTTGTGATGGTTTTCCCCACAATGGGGAACCATAGCTTAGAGGCAGAACACATGCCTGGCATGCATAAGGTCGCTGATTCAGACTCCATCATTTCAAGGCTGTTTGAAACCCTGAAGATCTACTGCTGGTCATTGCTTAGACTAGATGGACCAATGATCGGGATCACATATAAGCTGTACATTCCTTTTGCACTAGAGGTCACTTGTGTTAGTGCAATGTCATTTATGCTAACTGTAGTATGGTATTAGATTCTGCCTTTATTCTGTTGGACTCTGTAGCTCTGTCAGTAATCACTATACTTTTGGTGTACTCAGTCTGGGTTCTGCTCGATGGATTTCCAGGAGAATAAGCATAATTTGGACAAAATCTTTAGTAGCCACTGTCTGTTTTCTGTGCAAAGGCCTTTATGAGGCTGTAACATGGACATTTGGTAGAGGAAAGTTTCACAGACGTGAAACTGTGTGTGTGTGTGTGTGTGTGTGTGTGTGTGTAAACGAGAAAGTAGAGAAGGCGAAATAATATATTTGTATTCTGATGCAGCTGAGTGACCAACTTCAAAGTGAGTAATATGCCTCTCAGATCAAACTTTTCCCCTGCCACTGCTGAAACTTTATGTCAGGGTTGGGCTGCTTTTGCCCTGCATTTTCAGTTTGTGGGCCTTCAATTAAAATGGAACGAAACAAGTGATATGCACGGAAAGCTGACGAGAGAACCTTCAGGCTTAACTTGTATCCTAATGAACAGATGAAAAGTCTCCATTTAAAATTGAGAGGCTGGTTTTCCCCTTCCATGTTCATGAAATTAGTTTCTGTCAAGAAAAGATCATCCAAACATAGTTCTGCATTCCAACTGACCTCAGATTTTATTTTGGAGCAGGTTCTTTGTTTGATCTGATGAATGTTTGCTCCTGTTTCTATATTCCAGGTTTGAAGCTAGGCATGGAAAGGGATGCGTATGTCATGATTGCTGAGAAAGGGGAGAAGCTGTATCACATGATGATGAACAAGAAAGTGAACCTTATCAAAGACAGGAGGAGAAAATTAAGCACTGTTCCCAAGTGCTTTCTTGGCAAGTAAGTGACATTCGGGTTGAAAAGGCCCATTCATTCCAATTAATGGAAAGGACTGCGGGTTTCTGTGGATGGTATTATGAAGCCACATCAGATGAGCTTTGATGAGATTTAATTGGAAAGGTCTTTAACCTCCATTACAATTAGTTTACTAAAATTAATCATTCATTCCTACGTAATGCTTTTGGACTCTGCAGCCACAGCAAATTCCAGTGGGGGCAGGAGAGAAAGCTTCCAGACATCATTTCAAAATCTGCAGGAAGAGGGAGGAGCAATTACAGCTGCTTGGAAATGCTTTGACAACCCAGCATCCTGTATCGCCATCTTTCTTTCTCCCACTCTTAGAAGTTGCTTTTATGGTTGCCTTGGGTTTAGCATCAAAGCCAGATGTATCGGTTGAGCAAGATGCCTTTCGTAGAACTTAAGGGTCAGGGAAAAAATGCTATCTCAACCAGACCACAATAGGGTTGATTGTTAACCATGCAAATTATAATGCTTGGAAAAGCATTTGGTGTGGAAGAGCAATAATGTAGGTGAGGTGCCCAACAAAAAGAGATTAGATAAATATTCATACCACAAGTCTTGGATGAGAGCCATGGAAGGTAATCTGAGAGGGCTTTTCCGGCTTGGCCTACTAAAACCAAAACGATCACTCGGGAAGTCTGTTATCAGGGAAAGGCCATCCATCTGTCTTGCCCTGAGCATTGTAGCAGTACAGTTAACAGTGTTAGAAATGCTCTCATGCACAGTGCGGGGCAGCAGGAAGGCAGTCCTGTGGGACACGCTGGTGTGTCTGGAAAGGGAAATGGACAGAGTGACTGTATAGAACTTTGCCGTTTCGATAGCATTACAAGAGATGGAACCCAAGTTGTCCATGCTTTTTAGGGATGGATAAATCTGTCAAACTTAATTTTGCCCAGGCTCTCATTTTTCCACGTTTTTGTTGTCACATTCTATTTCTGTACTGGACTGCAAGCATTTTTTTCCTATTCAATAAAATTTGTGTGCACATTTTTCCAAATGTCCACATTTTTCACATGCTCCTTCACAAATAGAGACATTTTTGCAAGCAATTTTCCCCTTCAAGTGCATATTTTCCAAAACTTACGCATTTTTGTGTGTACTTTTCCAAATATATACATTTTTGTGTGTGCAATTTTGAATGGCAGACCACATCACAACCCTTTGGGAAGTATGAATGTTGATATCTAATTGCATTCGGGTTTGTGTGTAGATTTGGAAAGTGAGCATTTGGTATGTGTGCATTGAGAGCAAAGTGAAGAAATGTCCCACCCGCTTCTAATCTTCATAACTGTGGAGTAAATAGGGTTTCTGCTGTTTGTTTTTCCACAAGTTCATAATGGTTTTACTTTTAATCATATTTCCTTGGCTGCATGAAATATTTCATACTGTGTACTGCGTGTTGTTATCGGACTTGCTTGCCAATAACTGTAAAAAGATCCATCTGTCTCTGCCCTGACACATTTTTACCAAAGCCCCTCAATCTTGACCTGAAGCACACTCTTGTTCACATTCTAGTTCCAGATGCACATCCCAAGCTATAAATGTGCTATAATCCTTCCCTGTAGCAGTCTTGCTATTTCAGTCCTAGCTTCTTAATCCTTCTAAGTGAGAAAGAGAAGAAAAATCTTTGCGGGTTTCTAACTATAGCAGTTTTGCAGTTATTCTGGTCCTGACCACCCTGCAGGGCTAAGCTAATATGTTTCAATCAGCTAGTCAATATACTGTTGCGAACCTGTCATTTCATATCCTTCCTAACCTTAAACAATCCCCTTCCCACTCCTGCATGTTTTCTTGCTGTTTCAACTCAAAAAGCCCACAGGAGCTTCTTGTCATATGCATCAAGCCATGCTTTTATGGTTTGTTTGACAGCTCTGTGTGTGCAAAAAGACGTCAGCACAGAACTTAATTCTGGCCCTTAAACATAGTTGCTCATTTTGTAAAAGCCTTACTTTTCTTTCCTGACCTCACTGGCCTTTCATCCTGCATCGGCTCAAAACTTGTTCCTAATGTAATTTTTTTGTGCCCTTCCAGTGACGTTCAGACAGAATCCTATTAACACACTGTATTCTTTTGGGAACTTGTAACTTTTCATCAGTGTTGTGCTGTTGGCACAGTGCTAAACAAAGTGTTTCTGAGAAGCACAATACTGTGAACCATCTAGGTAGTTGGAAAGGCAGTTTGTAAACATGCTTGGAAAAGATACATTTGGATGTGCTTCCAATGCAACCTTTCCAAACCCATGAATGTGTACAATTTCTTCCCTAGAACACTTACAGAATCTTTCTCCAAATGGTTACATTAATAAATTATAAATCTTTTCCTATATGTGTGCTCATGGGGCAGCTTATGAAGTTTATGACCACCTCAGTTCTCTGTCATCCCCCAGTGAGTCAGTGTTCCATGCTGACAGAGTGTGCCCATTTGAGCTGCTTGGGAATTACGCCTGTAGTGGTGTTTTCCCAAAGGGGTTTTTGGCACTTCTGCAAACCTTGGGGGTTGCCAAAGCCAGCTGATACCTTTCTTGGTTTTTTTGTTTGGCATAGTGCTCTTTCGGCTAAAAGCCCACACTTATGTATTTGCTGTTGTTATTGTTGTTGTTAGTTGCAAAGTTGCATCCGACCCATCACAACCCCATGGACAACATTCCTCCAGGCCTTCCTGCCTTCCACCATCCCCCGGAGTCCACTTATGCTCACACCGACTGCTTCAGTGACTCCATTTAGCCACCTCATCCTCTGCCGTCCCTTTCTTCTTTTGGCCTCAATTGTTCCCAGCATTAGGCTCTTCTCCAGGGAGTCCTTCCTTGTCATTAGGTGGAGCCTTCTCCAGCACCACAATTCAAATATATAATAACAGTTTGTTATACATAATTGTGCATATGTATTTATGCCACCTTTGGCTTTGCACAAAGATGGCGTACCCAATCCTCTCTATTTTATCCTCACAACAACCTTGTGAGGTATATTAGGCTGAGAGTCAATGTCTGGCCCAGAGTCACCGAGTGAGTTTCAGGGCTGAGAGGGAGCTAGAACCTGAGTCGTCTGAATACCATTCCAGCCCTCCAACCACTACACCATGTTGTTTCCCATAGCATACTCTTACTTAGATAATGAGTTTCCTCTGTATGTGTGTGAGACACCAGTTCTGTACCATCTGCATCCAGTCCTGCATTCAGTACTTGCTAGTGTTCCACTTTTAACAGTAATGTTGGCACCACATGAAACATGCAGTAATTTTACTATGATGAAATGTTTTTCAAAAACTTATTTTCTGACAATTGTTCCATATTCTTCTCTGCCTTGGGGGTTGTTCCTCCCACCACCATGAGAAAACATTTACTGTAATGGTACTCTGTCAACCAAACTCAAACCCATTCCTCACATTGTGTTTCATTCCATCACCACACCACTAATTTGCAATAGCGTTGTGTCATCTCCTCTTTGAAAGGCACATTCAGAGCTAATACGCACCTGTAGATCCACCCTTTTTCAAAAGCAAGAGTTGCATGCCACCAACAAAACACACAAATGCTACAAAGACAGGTGGCATATTACCTTGCATGCACATTAAAGATAAAAGTTCCCCCACACAGGCGTGCTAGTCATGTCCGACTCTGGGGCTGATGCTCATTTTGCGTACATTAGTCACATGAAATAGAGCATGGAAGGGAAAGAACACACACACACACACACACACACACACACACACACACACACACACACAAAGAACTTCAGCAGACGCTTTGAACATTACCCAGAAGAGTGAAATTGCGTGCATTTCCTCTTAGTATGCTTTGGGGGCACGTCTGGGGATGTACAAGAATACTGTTTGTTTACTCAGTTCCTTTCTTAGTATTTTTAAAAATTTGCTTTTCATTCATTTGTAAAATTGCTTTAGAATTTGTTCATCCATTTTCATTACCCTAACTAGTTTCCATTTACCAATTAAGTTGTTTTGCTAATTCCTTGGCTGTCATTTGAATGGCAAAATAACATTCAGAGAAAGACAATTTCTTGGCACTTGACCAGCATCTCCACTTTAAAAGACAGAGATGAGGAAAGACTCAGGGTCTTTTTCTGGATTGTGCTCATTTGTCTTACAGAGCAAACACTTACAAATTCTGATGCAAACTAAATTCCTCAGAAATGTGAAGAGCAGCATTTAATAAGCCACTTCTTATTTCTAAGGAACAAAAGGACAAATGAGATTTGGCATGGGAAGTGTGGAGTCACGATTGCCATCACTATAAGAGATGGAGAAAGAAAACCTGCCTCTTGTCTTCTAGCTTGCCCTCACCCAGTCCAGACAGAAGTTGGGACCAGGGTGTGGGATCATTTGCTCCCTCCCTGTCAGGATCAGCACAGTGGGAGGCATGACTGAGCAACTGCTGAGCGGCCTCCCTACAAGAGTCACTTGGAGCTGCTGCTGCAGTTCCTGCCACTCCTGCTTGCCTCCCTGCTGCATCCTGCATTTACCTGCAACTCACTCTGGCCCAGACAACAGTAGTGGAGAGAAGGAACTCACCGGCTCTCTTCCTGTCAAGTGATAGCAATGGTGTGGAAGAAGATGAAGGGAAATAGCAGCTCAGATGTGTAGTGAGTGGGCCAGGCACTCACTCTGCAGGCTGTTCAGGGAGATATTCACTGGAATCTGAGATGGACAAACAAAGGGGACAGAAACCTTTGAAGCTCCTTCAAGGTTGCTTCCTGAAGTTTCCCAGGCTGACCGTGAGAACCAGCCTGTTTTGGAGGAGATAGGAGTGGTTTCCGGAGAGAAGGGGAACAAGTACAGGACCCTGACCTTGATCCCATGAGGAGGTGTTGGAAGAGACGAGCTGCCTAGTTGGAAGGCCTGCTTCGATCGTACCGGCTGGCTTTCCACCAGTGAGAACCATCCTGAGGGTGTAACCTTAGTGTTACTGGAAAGGGAAGGACTGAAGGGAAGTTTCCAGTTTGGATTCAATGTTTGGCATGAGCAGAGACTTACACTTTCAGTTTGATAGAAGGTTGTTTAGGGCTAGACTGTCCTGTTAGCTGTGAGGTGTTCATATGGATCTACATTGCAAAGATTGTCTTGAGTTTTGGAACCTGTGGGAAAGGAGTGAAGGGACACACTCACTCCGAAAGGTCTGAAGCACCAATCCTGTAATTCCACACAATTTCCCCCTCTTCCCTTAAGCAAAAAGAATGTGGGTAACATGTCCCAGCTCGAGCATTAATAATGTGGCATGAGCATAAATGTAACAGTCACTTGCTAGGACTACGGGAGAAGAAGGGGTGGTTCAAAATTGTTCCTCCTTTTTTGCTACCACACTGCTGAATTTTGGCAGAAGCTCTCCGAGTTTCCCCTTTGCGCTAGCACGTGATGCATTGTGCAAGCATTGGTTCATGGTGGCTCAGTGTTCTATGTGCTAGCACCAGCCCACTGTCCAGGGCTGCCTTACGTCTGCATGCTATCCACCACGGCTAAAACTGCCAAGAAGAATCATGTGATCCCACAGCCTGCTGCTAATCTCTTCTCCACAGTTGAGAAGCAGAGCCCATTAGAACTCTCTCCAGGTGTCCAAGCCTCAGATCATGAGGTGGAAAGTCACCATGAACGTGATAGTCCCACCTGCTTTGTGGGATCCCTGGTTCCAGCTGCACTATCCTCCATGTGCTGGGAAGGGCCATTGTGCAAGGGGAACCATCTCTTTTGAGTAGACTCCTTGCATGCCTTGGGTTGATGCAAGATTAGGCTTCCAGATTTCGAGAGGCTCCCTGCTTCTGAAGATCAGCCAGCAACATATGGGGGATGATGAAGCTGTGAAGTCTATACTGGCCCATCTAACTTTATAGGCTTAGCTTTATACTGCCAACACTGACTGGAAGCCACTTTCCATGCTTCAGGGAGGATTCTTTGTAGTACGGTGTGGAGATGCTGTGGTTTGTACCCAGGATCTTCTGCATTCATAGCATGGGCTTTATCGCTGAGCCACAGCCCCTCCCCATTCTCATTTATGTTCATAGATGTAAATTTAGGAAAAATGTAACTTAAATAGAAATACAGAAGGTGTGCTCCTAATGGGAAGCCTGTGAACAGACCTGTTAACCTGCAGTGTCAATAGCAGACCTGGTCTAAGACATTTTGTTGCTTGACCCAAAGGACAAGGTGGTGTCCTTCTCCTAGTCCACATGCAAAATCCAACGTGACTGGCCACCGAATTCCCCACTGTGCCTGACAGCAGCTGGCTGTTTTAACGGGCATGGGACAGGGCACCCGGCGCACACAGCTCTGCCCTCCAACATTTACTTCTGCTCCCACTATCTATTGCCAGAGGGAGCTACTTTACTCTGCTGACTGGTAGGGCCAGCCATGGTCCATGGTACCTGAAGGATGCAGCTGGTGAGACAAAAGGCCAGACACCTCTGGCCTTCCTCCTTGCGGAGCTCTCAGAACTGCCCTCAGAAGAAAGGCCAAAGGCTCACACTAACCGGCATTGACCTCTGATGAAATCAGTTTGGCTTGAAACAAGCAAGTCATTTCCATTATGCGCTACAGAGCATTTTGATTCCCCAGCCTCCTCCTCTGCTGGTTTAGTTCCTTTTCTGTTAGAGCCTCTGCTAGCCGTGTTTTGTTTCCCGTTTGCTTGCTTGTTTCACTGTGTGTCCTGCTTTCCTGCCATGAAGGCCCTCGTAACAAATGTCAGTAAAGCAGCTATAAACCTGATGAACTACAGGTTCTTCACTGCTTCACTGGTGTAGCTCTCAAAGGTTTGGTCAAAAATGGGTTCATCACTGATAGTCCAAAAATCTTCATATTTATAAAAATCTCCACAAAATTTTAAACCTGTTTTCCAAGCTTTGTTCAGTCACAGTGATCTAAAAGTTCACAGCCTGTTTGGAAATGCACTCCCTTGTATCTCCCGTAAACCAAGCTGAAAATAATTGTTTCCTCTTTCCCATTTTCGTCTGAATACATCCCCGTGGCTTAGAAAAGTCAGCCTTTTCTATACAAAGGCTACAGATATGATATCCTGGGACCTGTAACTGGATGCATGGATGCTGGTTTTGATAAGCAACAAAGTTACATAAACTGGAAGAGTTACAGCTACTTTATTAAACACAGATTTTCTCTGCATTGCCCTGTTTTCAGAAATCCTTTTCATGCTTTGTCTGGATTTTGAACAGTTTTAGAATAATCCTCTCTGAAGTTGGCAAACAGCCAGGTCCCCTCAGGGTGCTGACAGTATCCCATTCATCAAGTTTATTTCTTTCTGTACCAGTTCTCTCTCCCATTCACTACTGCATACAGTTGCAGTCTCTCCGTATCTGAGAGCTCTGTGTAGAACAACGTTATATTGCAGCCGTTAATTCAGTTTCAGGGTGGAATTGGCCAAAACAGCGATCCCATGTTGCGTTTCCATGTTCCCTCCTGTAATGGGTAATGCATTTTATGTCATGAACTTATATCTGTGAATTTCCTTTCCCTGCTCTATTGCGCGCTGGTGGGAGTTGGGCTAATTTGCAGGCAGCTCCATAGAAGGTGTAGTTCGTGCCCCCTTCTAGTTATACATGCAGCGCTTGAACTGTAGAATTCAGTGGGGATTGGGAAGGGTCACAGCTTCGTCTAAACCAATCTCCTACTACAAAGCAGGGGCACCATTAAAGCTGGGCCATGGGGAGGACAACTGGGTCCTGTAACCAAAAGGGTCCCCCAACCATATTTGGGAAGCTGCAGCTGTAGTCATGGATTGTTTTAAATCACTTATTCCAGATCAAACTGGCAGGGAACTGAGCCTGTCAGAGTGACGTCAGTGGGGGCTTCGCCTACATTTTTAATCCTTGTTTGCATGTGTCTAATTTGGGAGGAAGCAGCTTATGGGACGGGGAGGTTTAATTTTCCTTTCCCAGTGCATGATAGTCTCACTCCTAACTGGGGCTGTTCACATCTGTTCTAGAGTAAAGTTTAAGGTAAGGCTCAGCTGCAGCTGTCATCTAGTTAATATAACTTCAGCCAGAGAATAATCTTCCCAGGTCACTTCTTTGCTCTGGAAAGCATTTCTGCAGCCATTGGAAGACAAGGTCTCTCCCACTGTTTGTAGCATTTATATTTTACTGCATTTTAAATCCTGTCCTTGCAAGCTGTTCAGTGCCCTTTGTGGAGTTCTCCCCCTACTCATATTGTATCCTTCCAACAACCCCATGGGGTAGGTAGCCCAGACTGGCCCAAGCTCACCCGGGAAGCTTCATGGTTGCACAGGGAATTGCGCCCAGGTCCTTACACAGCTTCCTAAGCAGGAGGCCACGCTGGTTCTCTCATGGTCATGCATTGCTAGGCCTGGTGGGAGGGAAGGTACATTCCGGGGGGGATGGTTCACATGTGGCCTGTTTGTCTTGGAACCCAAAGGGAGCAGGGAGCTAATTTGTTGTTCTGCTTCTACACAGCGAGTTCGTCTCTTGGCTCATGGAAATTGGGGAGATAAGCAAGCCGGAGGAAGGGGTCAACCTGGGACAAGCTCTGTTGGAGAATGGCATCATTCATCATGGTGAGTGCTTTGAATTGAGTGTAGAGATATACTGGGGAACAGTAACATTTTTTTCATCCTTTTTTTCTGAAAACATGTTTTCTTACCCTTTATGGTCAGCATTTTAAAAAGTGATTTAATTGGGGGGGGGACTTTTCTAAGTGGAGGATTTTTTTTTGATATCAGGTACAACTTTTACTTAGATCCACCCTTTGTGATCAGGAGACTTGTTACTGATTCGCAAACTCACTTTCTCCTAGCTTTTAAGAGTTTCCTCAGGAATAGGGCATACTATCAGCATTCTGCATTTGCCTTTACGTATGCACATACTTGACATCTCTTCCCCAGCTCCTGGAAAATGCTTTTGAGAATGTTATTTATTTTATTATTATTATTTCAATTTATATGCTGCTAAAATAGCTCAAAATATTAGGTGCACAAATGCACAAAGACAATCACTTTTGCATAGAAACAGCTACTGTGGTTGCAAACCCACTGTGAAATAAATTTCACAGGACTCTGCCTATAAATTAAAGTCACAGCTTCCAATCATTATGTCTAATTACTTATCACTTCAACTGACACCTGGAGAAAAAGCCTATTGCTAAAATATGACTTAAAGCACAATCTTATGCATGTTTAGCTCTACACTGAACCCCCCTTCTCCTCTCAGAGGAGGCATTGCATGTATTACATTTATGTCCTCCCTGTTTTCCCCTTGTTCACCTTATCTTCTTCGTCTCCATTGTATCCTCACAACAGCAACTCTGTGAGCTGCTCAGGCTGACTGAGTGACCGGCCCATAGTCACCCAGGGAGCTTCAAGAGTCAGTGGGCATTTGAACCTGAATCTCCTGGGTTCATGTTGCAACACTCTTAACTACCATACCACGCTGGTTCCATTATGAGCTGTGCTTCCAAGCTGCACAGAACCCCTTGAAGCAGTAGTTCCTGCAAAGCAGTTCTCCCTCCGTGCCTGCAGTCTGTGAGTGTGTGTGCGACTGGTGTGTGTATATGAGTAGTGCGTATGTGTGAGTGCTTAGGCAAGCACATGGGGGGGGGGTGTCCCAGCCCCTCCTAGCATGCACTTGCCTTGGGCTGAGAAGCTTTTTCCAGCTCTGATCTAGATTGACTCTAAGACTACATTCTTAGGGATCGAGATTATGTGAATTGCTCTAAAGTCATTGCTGGGACATCTTTTTAAGGACTACTTTAAGGACCCCTTCATATGTAGCCTCACTCACCTTATACACTGCATTTTTAGCAAACAGATGTGACAGGCAGGTTTGTTTACTAGGCAGTCACAATTAGCTGCAGCTCCTTGTTGGGTATCCACTTTTTGTTGAATTCCAGGTTTGCTTCCGAGTAATGTGCTAAACAGCTCTGGATGTATTTCTTTGTGGGCTGGCCAGACAATGCACTTTTCCTCTTAAAAGGTGAGCTGCAAAATGTGTATCTTTTTCCTGCTGCTTTCCATTATGGTTGTAGAAAGCTGGATGGCCCTGGGTCAGTTAAGCACAGGAGTTGCTTTTTCATCTATCAGGTGTACATTGTCGGAAAAGTGCACTTCAAAGTGAGAAAGGCGTTTCTTTCTCAGGTATGAAACCTTTCGCAGTAGTCTCAATTTCAGTGCAAATGCTCTGAAACCCACTTTTATCTGGGAAGTTGATTATCTTGATCTGACATCTGCAATTGAGCACTGTGTATTATGATGTTGGCAGTGCTTTTTTCCACATCTGTGCATCTGGCCCAGGAAGAGACAAGATTCGTTCATGAGAATTCATTAGGCTGCATTTTCAATTGGGTTCTGCGGAAATATCCAGGATAATACCGTACTAATTAAATCAATCCCTCATGTTTGGTAATGCAATGACAAAACAAAAAACACCTGGTCACATTTGTGAATGTTGAATATCTGAACATCTGCTACTGAATGAAAACTTAATTGTTCTGCTCCAGAATGTATGTTTTCTCACAATTTTGAAGGTTTGTCCTTTTCCAAAGGGTTGCAAATTATAATAATTAGAAGACAATTTCTTTATCTCAGTGCTATGATGTAACCAGGAGGATTAGCATTGTTACGGAGGAAGGGGACCTGGACAGGATGGCATTATTGCTATTCCAAGAAGCTACTCCTGGGGGTTTGGGGCCCCACAGGAGCAGCATGGGGTGCTGTGTGGTGAGCTGCAGTGGGTGGGGGTGACCAGTGGGGAAGAAGATGTCCAGCCACCCAAAGCAGGAGGATGCAGGGCGCCACTTCCCTGCACTGCCATTGCTGTTCCCTTTGTTCTCCCATCCTTCTCTCTGAGGGCTTCCTCACAACAGGAGATCAGGCAGATGGGCTCTTGGGAGAGCTAGCCAGGTTCAAGGCTTCACACTGAGTGGTTGGGTGGGGCACCTGGTCCACAGTGCCTTGCTCTGAGGAAGGGCCACTCAGAGTGACAGAATGCATGGGCAAGCTGCATTGTCCAATTTTCTGCTAGAGGGAGCAGTACCAGATAGGAAGCAGCAGTGATTCCTGGTGTGTGCATGTGGGGGTGATGTGCCAAGCCTTCTCTTCTGCTGCCCAAGGCAGAGGATTCACCTCGCCTAAGCCCCACCTAGGATAATCCATCATTGAATTCAGCCCTTGGTATGTGCGCCAAAATACTGCAAAATTTGACCTCTTCATCTTTGGAGTCATTTGAACCTTAGACATAGTGGATAGCTCTGCATATGGGACACTGCTGATTGTTGTTCTGATGCTTCAGTTTCAGATAAGCACCATTTCAAGAATGAACAGGTGATGTACAGGTTTCGTTATGATGATGGGACTTACAAGCCCAGGAGTGAACTGGAAGACATCATGTCCAAGGTATGTTTTTGTGCTCGATCTAGGCAAGGAGTTTGAGCCATTTATAACTGATGTCACAGACTTGGTCAAATTAGTAGTTTGTCCTGTCTTAGAGACAAAGGAGGTCCACTCCTCATCTCCACTTTCTCCCTGAATATTTGGCTGAGACCTCAACAAATTTTCTGGCCAGATAAATCTGCATAGATTGAAGGAAGGTCACCTGTTTGAAAGTACAAGGCTGAAAACAACACTTCATTGTTGACAGTGGATGTGAAAAGGCCGAATGTATTCATTCGCTCTACTGGAGCTTAAATACTTGGAAGTGCATTGATTCTGTGAAAAAAACAGCTGTGTTTTACATTTTAGGACTGGACTTTAGGAATGTGCAAACTGTTGTCACATTTATTTATTTATCTGACACATGTTTATGCTGCCTTTTGACCACAACCAAATCAAAACAATATTTTTTTAAAGCTATCACAGAAAACAGCAAACATCATAAGCTATCACTCAGTACAGGTACAACGAAAGACACTAAATGTCTGGAAAAAAGTTAGGCAGACTTGCTGCAGTTCCTTTCCATGTGTTTTTGATGATACAGCACCACTTATGGAATTACAAGGCTGCATTTGCTTTTCTCTGCAGGGTGTGAGACTCTACTGCCGTCTCCACAGCCTTTACACTCCAGTGATAAAGTAAGTTCACGATCATGATGTTTTCATAGTCCGTCTTCCTTCTAGGTATAACAGGCTGTTGGCTGAAATCTTCCTCCTTTGCTTGTGCAGCCCGTAATAAAGCAGCTGACTACTTGGGAGATCCTGGCTTTAAGACTCTGGCACAAGAATACAAGCCATACATTTTGCAGCAAATGTAATTCTTGAGCTGATCCCACCCAATCTGTAGTTAAAGTCTTGCTTCTCGTATGGATGGAGAGAGCTGGGAGCTCCAGTTTTCCCAACAGAGTGCTTATTCCCCAGTCAGCATATCGCAGAAGCAGAGGTGTGAGTGACAGGTCATTGCCGTGTTTGTAGCACCTGGAACCCAGAGCTGGTTGTATAAACCATCATTCTCCTTAACTGAAAAGACTGTTACTCCAGGAGGTGGCAGAACTCAAGAAGGAGAGTGCTGATGGTGTGCATGTATACACACACTTGCACAAATTCAGTCTTCAATTAGGCAAGTCATTCAAAATATGAAAAGCAGAAATTGATAATCAGTTTAGGGGGAATTTAAGGAATGCTGGGTGTTGTAGGACTTTTTTCTGTCTAAACATGCGTAGGAGTGTACCTTCAGCTGCAAAAATCTGACTGATGTTAAGGCATGCCATTAGAGGTTTTTTAATGCATCAACAGGATTAGCAGCCAACAAGCAAGAATAGCTTTAGCTGTCCTCATGCTAAGAAGATGGGTAGAAATTGGGGCCAGGGGTGATTTCAAATCATCCAAATAAGTGCTTCTCCAGCCAGCCCTCTGTATTAACTCATAATAAAGGGACAGCATGCATACAAATACTGTTTCAGAGTTGCTCATAACAAAATTGGAACTAATAGGTTAATGCTGTTAAGAAATAAGGCCAGAGTTAAGTAGGATCCATAGGCCAAGCATTGCCCTGCTTGGAATGTCCACTGGGACTACTAACAATGAAACACAATTATGACATTAATGGAACAATGCAATTATGACATTAATGGAACAATGCTCTAAATTGTATAGAGGCTATTGAGAAATTGTTTTCTTAGTATAATTACTCTCTGTGGTTAAAATGTGGCATTGCTCATAGTACTAATTTCTCTGCCCAGTGATATTTTTAATGATCTTTCAACATTCTTTTCTGTTTCAGAGACCGGGACTACCACTTGAAGACCTACAAGTCGGTGATCCCAGGAAGTAAACTAGTGGATTGGCTGATTGCTCAGGTAAGGAAAGCTTACTGATGGTGTTTTTTTAAAAATTTGGCATCAGTGTTGCCCTTTTCATTTTTCACGGTACTGTTGCATCACACCATTTTGCGCAAAGTGAGGATGTTTGCTCAAGAAGACAGGGTTATGGTGAGCCAGGGCAGATATAGTGGGACTTTGACCACAGCTGAGGTTTCTGGACCACAGAACCACGCAGGACCACACATTCCCCCTTCATATCTCTTCTACTATTCCACACACATTCCTTCAGCCACCGCCACCGTAACTCTTAACCATCATCATCATGTCTACAGCAGTACTGACTGAACTTATCCTGGAATTAAACATCTGATCTCAATTTTTGGATACTCCAGTCAAGTGAATATGCTGGTTGACTAGTAAAAGATTGAAATTCCTACTACTTAAATAAATGGAGTGCCAAGCTCTTTAGCTTTAATGATCTGTCAGAGGTTTGAAGAACTGCTCATTCTGTTTGTAATTTGGACTCAAACAGCCACTGATGTTTCATAATAGAAGAGCCTGATTTTCTTTCTTTAGCGAAAGAGCCAGGTAACCAATTATGAGAGAATCCCATTCTGCATAATATATTAGTCAGGTTGGTTTTGGTCTTGCATGAAGATAGCTAAGTTGCTTCCATTGTCCATAAATGAGAGCTGTCCTTATTGTCTGACTGTTGTATATCCTTAGACCAATGGACAGACAGTAGATCAGAATCTAACAGTAGATCTCTACTGCTTTGTAGTAAGCAATGTAGAATGTATTAATGAGCAAGGACTTGTGCCTCTCACTTGCTTAAGTCGGGAGCACAAAGTGACCATTTACTTCCTAAATTATACAACTGAAATAAAGTAAGCTAATGTGGGGTAGAATGGTGCAGTGTCAGAAACTGACATTTCTTTAAACCCATGTTTAGCAGCTACATCATTTTAATTTTTAGGCTAAAATAGGCATGGTGGGGGACTGACCTAGGTCGAGACCAAAATATGGGGGCCTGAGGAATTTTATGAGCTGGATCACCCCCCCCATGCCTACTCTAGAGTAAAAATGACCAACAAAAGGCATAGTTGCTTGATGGAGGTGTAAACAAATATCTGTTTTGGTGTCAAGCGTGGATTTGTATGTTCTGGTACTGAAAACACATTCCAGGGCTCAGAGTGCTTTCACAAATCCCACAACTCTGTCCACTTCCAGGGAAGGGATAATGGTTTGATTGCCAGAGAAGTAGAAGACTTTTAAAATTATAATACTGATAGTATGGCAGTGGCCTGAAAAAATAAGGCAGTGATGGAGTATGTATAACTAAGTACATCTAGTACTGAATTCTGCAGAGTGAGATTAAGCCTGTTTGAAGATATAATAAGACTTCTGCTGGATCAGAGCAAAGGTCTCTCTGCTCTTGTTAGCAATGTGCAAGGAATCTGTTTGGGGGTGAATCTGGGGTTCAGTTCTTGGTTTGACACCCCAGGCTCCAGTTGGCTTTGCAGCTGCCCTGGATCTTTTTTCCTGGTGAGCACGCCCAGCTTTTGTGGGGTGCTTGCCAGGAATCAAGCCCCATGCACTGTGCAAGCAGCACCCCCCCACACACATCTGGTGCTGCCGCTGTGCACTGCATTGAGCAGGGAAGAGGTTTGGTTGCTGAAATGTTTGCAGCGCCCCCTTCTGTGTCCTGCAGCCACTCTTTGGGTGATCGCACCTGATTGGGAAGTTTGCCAGTTGCACAACTGGGTTTTGTGAGGATTTGTGGACTTCCTCTTAGCTCACTTTTCATGATCACACCAAGCACAAGGGGAAGTCTGCAGAGGGTCAAGAGGCTCACCGTATGCCATGGTGTCATAAACGGGCCTCCTCTTTTTGCTTGCCAACAGATTCAAGGTGAGAGGATCCTAGCTTTAGTCCTTTATTTAGTTATGGTTACTTGTAATACAGAGTGAGTAATATAAAAATCATTAGCCAGAAGCACCTGTCAAGTGCATGATCCCTCTAATTGCTGAGTTAGTTCTTGCCATTGCTGGAAATTGATTCTACATTGTATTTCCTTTCTCCTGTCTTCTCTGAATGAAGCAGGGAGAAGGTCTGTGCTGCTTGAGGGCCCAATGGCAGGAATGCTAGATGTTACTTAAATGGTCTGTTTGTTTGACTTGACAATGAATCACTCAGCCAATGAATTCATACCCTTCCCCTCCTTGTTCTCTGATGTTTCCCCCTGCACCAGTGATGTTCCAGTTCTCACCAGCCACTTGGCTGGTCTTGGAGCTTGTTAATTTTGCCATTTCAACTAAACATTCCAGCTTGACTTCAACTTCAGATTCAAGGTCTGAAATCTCTAGTCTGGAATGCTGTATTTTGGGAGACGCTGGCTCAATTTCTACACATGCTTAGAAATGCATATGGATTGCTACATGTGTAGCAATAAATTCTGTAACTCTTTGCAACAGGAAACGTCACTTTCTAGGGATTTCCTGTAGTGCACTCTGATACTTTCCCACACCTGCTCTGTTGTCCTTTCAGTGCCAGGTTGAGACTGCCTTCTATGCCAAGGCATTTAACAGCTCAAAAAGGCACATGGGTGGGGGTGGGTATGTCAGTTGTTTAACAAGTTTGTTTAGGTTAACCTGTCTTAGTTATTTAAGTCAAATTCAGTTTTTATATTTCTGTAGTTAAATATTATGGCATTTTTATTGTTGTATGTGTTGTATAGTGTATTTTACAAGTTGCTATAAGCCTCCCAGAGAAGTTTGGCTATTGGGCAATACAAAAATAAATTTAAATTTTGGAAGACATTTTTATTGGTTATTAAATATGAGCACTCAAACTTCTGTAAACTTTTGATTAGTTTTGAGTGTAGCTATAAGAACTGCTGCTGCGGAACACAACGTATGATGCACACTTCCCCAGTCCAGCACCCTTCATATGGCTTGACATTTAATGCCTGTTGGCCCCAGGAGGTGTGACCAGTGATCGGGATTGCTGGGACTGTCAAGCATATGGCGGGAAGGCTGGTATAGAATGTACATCGAGGTAAGCAAACATTCTGAGCCTAAGGGTGCATCTGTCAATCTGGGAAACAGCCTCGAGCACCATCACAAAATGTCTGCCATGGGAGGCATGGCTTATCATACAAAAGTGACAGGAGTCCCCTTTTCTTTCTCTGTCTCTGCACTCCTATTTTTTTTTGTTGGCTGAATGCATTACAGAGGAAAGCGTTGGCCTGCGGGTAATTGCAGAGCAGAAGCTACTCTAGTCTCTTGTACATGACGGTCTGCTCTGACAGAGTTGTCTGATTCTGAGGACCAGGCAGAAAAGCAAGAGGGGCAGGGGACTGACAGTTTCAAGGTTGTCCAGTGATGTTTCTCAGGCAGAGTGTAAGAATTAGCCTCCCTTGAAAAGGGGGGGTGGCTTTTCAGAACTGGAATGGAGGGGCCCAGGGGGAACCCCTTGACCTAATCATGTGATGACAGAAGTGGCCAAACCAATTACAAAGTGTTTGTCATTTCTGCAACCTTAGCTGGCAAGCAGCAGGAGCCCCCTGGGGGTGTAGGCAGAACTTTTGCTGAAAGGCGGGGAAGCTTCCATTTGGATTCAGTTCTTCACGTGGGCAGGTGTTCCTCCTGCCTCTTGTAGAAAATGCTGCTCTTATTTAGGCTATTTTGTATCCAATTAAGTTTCATTAAAATAATTGTGCTTTAAGACTTGGAGTCTGCTGAAAGAGGGGTGAAAGGGGAAGTGACCTGCTCACATGACTTTAGTTAACCACCCAGAAAGCTATTGGAAATAATGTAATAAATAAATGCCCTAATTTTTGAAGATCTCTGGACCCCATGTGCAGCCTAGATGTGTATGTGGAGTATCAAAGTGGAAGCAGCTGGAGCACCTCAGGTTTTTTTTTGAAGCAATCCCAGTGGCTGGGGGAACAAAAGTATTGATAAGTTAGTTGGATAGGATATCTTGGTGGGACACCAAGGAAGATGTTTGAGAGTGCACTGGTGCAATGCTAATGGGAGGCCTTCAAACAAATCTAAAAAATAAATGAGAGTAACTTTTGTTAGCCACCCAGAGAGCTTGGGAATCATGTGGTGTGGGTACTGAGTATACAAAGCTGCCTTATACCTGAATCAGATCAGTGGTCCTTCTTGTAGCCTTGTTTCTCCATTTGCTTTCCAAATGGCCTTTCCTGCTGTTCTTGCAATTCCCTTTCCATTTAGGAAAGTTCTGTGTTATAACTGGAAGAATGCAAAGAGGATTTGAGTGGTTAGATCCTTTGTTACCTCTTTGACTGCTGCCCTGCAAGGGTTACTGTTTGAAGCCAAGCGGCATTATCAGGTCTACTTGCCAATTTCGTTATGGTGATATATTGGAAGACTTGTATGTGCAATTGCTCATGAGCGAATCGGGATTCCCAAAGGCTAGGTTAAGAATATTGTCAAAAACCATTTCTCCTTCAATTTAAACCCCATTTGGTGATAAACGTAGTTAGTGGCCCTTACATAAGTATGAACTCACCATTTCCCCCTCATAAAGTAACTCATAGCGGACACTGAGACTAGCCATGTGGCAGAATGTTAAAATGGGAGAGAGGCATGTTAAGGCTAGAAATTATATTACTGCCAAAATGTTTCATTTGATGTTTATTAATACCTTCTGGTTTGCCTGTGCTCAGCGGGAATTGTGAAATTGGTCAACACTTCCAGTTTTTCTGCTGTTTTCCCACTAGGAACCAGTAACTGCTTCTGTTATTCTGTTTGCCATAATTAGAAGTAGTATTGGATTACACTTACTGCATAAAGAAGCGCACAGTGGAATTGCAGGTCTTGAATACACAGCAGCTTCCAAATGAGGTATTGCACGTACCGAAGTCTCCATGTGCTTGTTTCCTCAAGGCACTGATAGCTGCAGAACTTCTTCCAACACTCTCCCCAAAAGGAGAGACTTACTACTGTCCACTCGCTTTTGTAAGCATGCCTTGCTTTTAACTCAGCAACTCAAGATAAAAGGAAAATGATGGCACCAGTTGTTTTGTTTTCTTTTCACTCCAGTCCAGGTGCTTTCCTCTTCTCTCAGCTGCAGGGAAAAGCAACTGTTTCAAATCCAAGAGGGAAGCAAAAAACAGTCTCCCAAATCATAATTTCCTTGCTGGGATTGTGAAACAACAACCCCACTGGAGAAGCATTCTCTAGTTGCAGGCTCATGGAAAAGCTGTCAGAACCAATCGTTTTAACAGGCAGCTGGAGATTTTGGTGCACACAATAGATTCATTTGGAGGTTACTATTTATACTGAACTTAACTTTAAAAAAGCATTTTCTATTTAAGGATGGCCCGCCACTTCATTACCTTTGCAACCTGTACAAGTTAAGATTTCTTGATGTCAACTCATTGTTAAATCTAGTGAGGCCAGGTTATCAGGTTGCCTGTTGGATGTTGGATGTTCCTGACCAAAATTAAGTTGTAGTGAGAAACTTTTGAATGCCTGTCTAATCAACGAACTGGAAAGGGTCATTGCAAGCAAAGCTGCCTTTTTCAACCTTTTGCGTGACTCAGCAACATGCACCCTTCTGTGAGTCAAAGTACACATTATGGTAATCACATTGCTTCCAGTTGTCCCTCTCTTTGTCTTTTACCAAAAGTGCACACAACCCAAATAAGAACTGGTGTGCACTGAGAGGGGCAGTTTAACTCTTCTCTCCTCAGCCAATCTATTCCTAACATTTAAAGAAGAAAAATGGCCCCCACTGCTGTCAGCGTTTTTTTCGTCCTTCTGTAGGATGTGTGTGCGCATAATTTCAGGAACCAAGTAGCTGAGGGAGACGGGTATAAACCTCTCCTGGTAGGCAGTGGTTCTGATCCAAATTGGGTTTGTTCATGCTTACCCTAGAGTGAAAACCAAAAGGGGGTTTGGCTGCCTACTGTGTCATGCTATAACATAATGTTATAGCTTGACAGTGAATTAACCTCTGATGAAAGTAAAAGAATCTGCAGGGCAGATCATAAGAAAGAGATCTCTCCATCAGAACATGGACCAGTTTGACTTGGGAAAGGTTCCTTCCGGTATCTAAATAAGGCAATAGGTTTGGATCTTAAACCTAAGCAACATGTATTTTGGCCATCAAATGTGCCCACCTGTCTGCTTCAGTGCAAAATACATGCTTGTGAGTTAAAGTGGGAGGTGGACTAGATTTATGCACTACCCATGTGGTCCAGGTAATTGTGGCTCAGCATCACCGAATTCCAGTGAGGTGAAGGCAGGAAACGCCTTCCTATCCCAGTGGAGCCTTGAATATGGTGGTGTGATCCATATTGGTGGTGTTGAAAGCACCCACAACCCATTCGGGAGAGGCTCAGATAAGCAGGAGTGGCACTTGTGGGGCTCTCGTTCAGGTGCCTTCCACACAAGTGCTTGTGCAGAGAAACCGGTCTGCAGGCGCCCAGCGAATATTTTTCTCAGCTTTAGCAGATTCAGCCAAAACATATATTACATCATTCTTGGAAACGCACACTACCCTTGGAATAATATGACCATGGGGTGTTTTTATTTTTAAAACCAATGCGTGAGTTTTTTTGAGAGGGAATACATAGTACAAAATATAAATTTTATTTCTATATTATATGTGGCTTTTGGGAAGCCTGAAGAAGTAGTCTTCACCCCCTCTCTTGCATGGCTTTGGCTGCCTCCTGTCCTAAAGAGCTGTTTTATTGCCTGTGGCCAAAGCGCAGGGAGTTCAGACTGTTGCAGCTGCCAGGGAAGGACCGTCTCTGCACTGGAAGCAGCGTGATGCATTTGTCCTGTTTAAACGGCTGCTTTCCGGAGTTTTCATCTTTGTCCTTCTAATTCCTGTGGGAAGCAAAGGGCACTATATATAGGAATGAATGGGATTTAAGCAAAAGGAGTCCTGTTTTAATTGCTTGGCTATTGTTTTGTTTCAGAGTGCCATGCTTATTTGAGAGCCGGGCCTAGTCATGGGCTAAGGAGGAAGTGGTGTGAGTTAGGAAGTGGTCTGAGGTGTAACATTTGTTCTTTCTTGTTACCAGGGAGACTGTCAGACAAGGGAGGAAGCTGTCGCACTGGGTGTCGGACTCTGCAACAATGGATTCATGCACCATGGTAATTCATCAATATCCCTTCTCCTGGCCAATTAACAAGGAACTCCCATTAACTCATTAACTGGGAAATGTGGCAAATCTCTCTACAGCATAACGTTGTCACCAATGCAACATATGAGATGCAAGAAAAGCACAAAACCTTTTACCATCTGACTGTAAAAAAATGTAGGGTGCGCACGAAAAGGGAACTAGCTTGCTGGGGAATTTTAGGACTTTCTCAGTGAAGGGAAGGCTGTATTAGTTTCAGACTGGGTGAGAGAAGAAACCGAAGAGAGCTAGGAGAGGTGAAGGAAGGGTTGTTCAGTAGAGAAAGGAATTTGCAGTGCAAGTCTGTTAGTTACTCAGTTTGTTTCATTAACAACAAAATCTTCTATTAATAATGACTCTCTCGCCTGCTTCTCTGAAGTGCTAACTACCAGTTCCTTGGCCTGTAGTAGAATATGACACTGTTTCTCAATACCAAACAAATAAATAGAGATAAATAATCCCTCCTATCAGGGAGAAGGCTAGGCCTCCTAGCAACCATAGCACTGTAACTATAGGAACCAGTGTGGTACAGAGGTTAGAGTGCTGGACTGCAGACCTGAGTTCTCCACTAGGTGGTGAAGGTCATCTGCTGACTTTGGGCCAGTCACTGACTCTCAGCCTAGCCAGCCTCACAGGGTTGTTGTTGCGAGGATAAAATGGAACTATGTAAGCTGCCTTGGGTCCTTCCCAAGAGGGGAAAAAGAGCAGTATAAGTGCAAGTGAGGCCTAGATGGAAGTAAACCAGAACTATCCCTAGAAGCAAAAATGATGAAATTGAGGTTGTCATCATGGGAAAGCAACACTCACTGGTCAATAATGCTAGGAAAAGTTGAAAGCAGAAGAAGTAGCAGACAAAATGGGAGATGGATTGATTCTGTAAAGGAAGCCACAGAGCTGAGCAGGACTGGCCCTTCTGGAGTGCATTCATAGGTCACCATTAAGTCAGACAGTATGTAGCCACAAATAATTACAATGCAAAGATGGTGATGATGCTTTATTTGCAAATTCTGTGCTATAACTTGACAGCGTCTCAGGTGGCACAAAAGAGCTGCACTAGAGTAGGACCTAATCTCTCCATATTTAGTTGTACTTTGCACTCTTCATTTCTTCACAGTGCAAAAAATCCTAAGCTGTAAAAAGACACAGCAATCGCAGGCCCTGACACCTTTATCGAGCAGCTATGATTAATGTAATTCATTTTCCTTTTCCTTTTCTTGGTTCCCCTGTACCTCCCTACCCACCCCCCCAGTCTTTGTACTTGAAATAGGTGATGACTGACCTCAGCTATGAACTTGAGCACGGCAGAACGCTGTTTCTAGCAAGCTGAACTTTACTCATTGAGCATCCGTGTATGAAAACAGCCATTTGACTCCTTTAAAGCATCCTTTTTTAATCTGCAGGGATGCTTTTTGAGGAAGGCTTTATGCAGCTTGTTGTTGATGTGCTTTCATAAGAACACAAGCACAAAGCAATTGCTAGGATTCATTTTCTTGGGTTGCTAGGAAGAACAGTTACAGTATGTATGTAGCTGGCCTCCTCCAGTTTGGGGCCTCCCAGATGTGTTGGATCGTGTGTTGGCTGAAGGATGCTGGATATCGTAGGCCTGCTGCTATTGCTGTTATTTTGATACTACCCAATAATTGGAGTTCTCTGTGCAGTATACACCAGCAGATAAAGCACAGTAAAATGCAATGTAAAGTAAAAGTGAAAGTAAAACATTATAAAATTTTACTAAGACTTCAATAGTAAATTTTAACAATTTAGGTAGCTAAGCAAGATTTAAACTGCTGGGACTTCCAAAACGGCTGATAATACCTCTCCTTGCCTCCATGATATTTAGAGCTTGGCCTAAAGGACAGTCTTAGGCTGGCATTGGAATGGGATAGTGAAGTTGGTGCCTGGTGAACCTCAGTGGGGAGATCATTCCATATTTTGGGAGCGACCCCAGAGAGGACTCTCTTCCGCCTTGCCACCCACTGAGTCACCCTTGGAGGCAGTTAGAGGAAGGTCCTCTATGTTGATCATAGTGTCCAGGTAGATTGCAGTTGGGAGAAGTGCTCCATCAAGTATTGTAGTGGCACTAGATTCTTTTGGATTCCTTCCTCCTCATTTGCCCCAAAAGATTTTTTTGTGCATGTTGAGAATTTCCCAAGCCTACCGATACCTTCCTCTTGTGGAGCACCAATTCTTGCCTAGGATTGTGATGATCCTATGGAATCTATTTCACTGCTGTTCATTGGACTTCTTCCTGGCTTAGGAAGCAAGCCAAACCGAGATGAAGTCTGCAAGTGCTAGCAAAGCTACTCTTGCACAGCCTGGCAGCCTTCATGTATAGCATTTGTAGCACAAACAAAGCTTGCAAGTCATGCACGCAGAAGGATATTATAGTAGTACCTTGGCTCACGAAATTAGTCTGTTCCAGGACTCTGGTTGTGACCCAAATTGGTCGTGAGCCAAGTTAAATTTCCCCATAATGTTCAATGTAAATAAGGTTAATCTGCTCCGTAACCATTTTTTTAATCAGAAAAATGTGAAGCAAAGTGACAAAGAACAACAAAGATCGCTGCCACCCCCCGCCCCCAGCACGACCGCAGTGTTGCCCATCATCCCTGCATGCGCCCGTCATCCCGGTGCGCTGGGAGCAGGGAGATGGGCACAAACGCGTGCGCACTGCGGGGTGGCGGGGAGACAGGCGCAATCTTGCTGGAGGGGAGATGGCTGAGATTGCAGTAGCGCTCGTGCATGATCGTGGCCATCTCCCCACTCGTGGGGGGGGGCGGGGAGATGGCCGCGATCGCAGTTGCCACCCAATGTGGAGTTCACAACCCACATCAAAATTTTCATGACATTTTTTGTTCACGACTGAGGCGTTTGTGAGCCAAGGTACCACTGTACTTGCACAGTGTTTGCAGAGTCACAGTTCCTAATGGGTGCATAGGAATTGCGTTGGCACTTGATGCCAAGTCAGATTCAGGGCCGTAAGAAACTGGGTCAGAGTCCAGGGACCTGAACCAAAAAAATCCAATAGATTCATACCCTAAAAGTGGATTCCTCATGCAATCATATTCTTACCCTGAATACAAAATAAATGATACAAATTCATTACTGTTAATACAAGGATTTGTAAATGAAATGGTGGGCAGGGCTACAGGGTGATTAAGACATAATTGTTGTGAGTGCATCTTTTCCAGCAGATCATCTGTACAATAGAGTTGTCTATTGAGCTAAGGTGTCTTATTATTGTTATTCTGTAAGGTGTACAGAATAACAATACGGTTTTCAAAAAGTAGCATCAATCAAAGTAGTGATCTCTCTGATAGCTCTTGCTCATCTCCAAAGCTGATCCTAAATTGAATCCCGTTGTTCTCTTTTCCCCCAAAAGGGACTGGCTCTCCCTTCAGGGAGGTTCATGCTGCTTGTGGGCCAGGCAGGAAGGAACACCTGCCATTAACTTAATTGGTCCATTTGGCTTGACAAGAAACCACTAGGCTGATGAACTCACACCCTTCCCCTTCTTCCCCTTCTTTTTCCACAATTTCTCTCCCCTGTCCCAAACCATAGGCAGTCTGGTTCCTTCCAGCTGCTTGGCTAATCTCCCTGATTAACCCTGCCATTTCAGTAATGCCTCCCAACCCCTCCTCCTCGTCTTCTAGCTCCTCTTCAGAGTCTGAGCTTTCTAGCTAAGAATGCTGCATTTTGAAAGAAACGGATGCGATCCCTACAGTAATCTGATTCTGAGAAAGGAGTAGAAGATAGCAAACAACTTGAGTGTAGGTGATAAATGTTGCATGCAGAACCATCTCTTGGTTTCTCCTATCAATCTTTCACATGTTAGGAATTACTGTGTATGGATTTGAAACCTGGACAGTGAAGAAAGCAGTCAGGAAAGAAAATGGATGCATTCAAAATGTGCTAGAGGAGAGCTTTGTTGGCTAACCCAGCAAGAGAGATGAACAAGTGGGTCCTAGAGCAAATCAAGACACTACTTTCCCTAGAAGCAAAAATGTCAAAATTGAGGCTGTCATACTTTGATCACATCATGAGAAAAGACTCACTGGAGAAGACATGCTAGGAAGTGTGAAAGGCAGAAAGAGAAAAGGAAGACCAGTAGGAGATGGATTGACTCCATAAAGGAAGCCGTGGCCTTGAATTTAGAACAGATAAACAGGGATGTCATGGATGGGACATTTTGGTGGGCTTACATTCATCAGGTCACCATAAGTCAGAGATGACTCGACAGCACATAACACCAACAATGTCAACTATAATAGTGGCAACCTGTGACATGTCCTCAGAATATAAAGGCAGATATTTGGACATGACCTCTGTATTCATGATAGTTCAGCAAATTGCAGCCATATAAATGCTTTTAAAACTGCTGAAGAAGAAGAAGAGACACAGCTGAGTAGTTAATTTAGTGCAGTGACCATTATCTATCTTTCTATGGAGTTGGCTGGCCTTTGGAAGCCTCACAATGGACCTATGTTTACCAGCTGAATTTTTTCCAAGCAATGAATGAAAAGCAGCCAGTTTTTTGTTTTTTTACAGCAGTGTGAAACCTAGCTTCATGCCTCTCTGCAGGGGCAGGGTGTCAGATGGTTTGTAAGAAGGGCAAGTTTATCCTGCTGGGACCTGCTGGGAAATTTGACAGGGGCAGGACAATTGAGAGATGGGTTCCAGGGGTATATAAAAGGCTGTTAGGGGATCACTAGTATCCACGTGTGCATCCCATACACCTCTCTTTCTCACATGCAGAGCACAGTGGTACCATGCAGAAAAGAGTAACAGTACTGATCAAGGGACTAAAGCAACTTCCCTATGAGGAAAGATGAAAACATTTAAGAACGTTTAGCTTAGGAAAAAGACAATTGTGGGGGTATGATAGAGGTGTATAAAATTATGCATAGTAAGAGAAAGTGGGAGAGGGGACATTGTTCTTCCTCTTCATAAAACTAGAACACAAGGTCATCCCAT